CATTTCTTCCAGAAATAGCTGACTATTCTCCATCCAACACTTTTAGCTTGGGATTCAAAGGAACTCAACAAATATCCTGATCAGCCTAGAGCGTGACTTTGCTTTTATTAACTCACATGTGTATCAGAAGATGCTCTGAAGTCTGAAGGAAGGCTGGGGGTTGGCCAACATTGCAGGCCCCATCCAGGTTGGGTGACCAGTGTAGCCAAGGCCTGCAAGAGCCAGCTCACACAGGAGAGTGGGTGGTCTAGTGGGCTGACCACTACACTTATGCTTCTACACTTCTGTAAGTGTAGGAAAAGGAAAAAGGTAGAATGGGAAGGAGCCAGGCTGGGATCACTGAGAAGATGTCATATCAAAATTCATTCATTTCTTTAACTTTTTTGATAGGGCCAATAAGATGGCTTATTAAATGGGACCCTGGATTTTAGGGAAATATTTGAAATATTTGCTCAACAAATAAAGAATATCAACTGGAAATAGGGAGGTGATGGAACAGCTGAAGAATTGTGCCCAAAGTTGTGATCCAAGTAATGAGGTCTTCAGTGGTGTGCCATAGAGCTGTCTTGGGCTTTTGTATAATGTCCTCTATTCTGACAAAGGGAGTTGTCATAGAAAGGGAAGAGGAGTCTCTCTGTGCAAATGGTTTTCTTCTGCATTAATATGTTCTTGGGGAAAATATTTGTCTTCAAACTGATAACCCCTGATGATCAGCCAGGCTTAGAACTTTACTTGTTCCTTGTCTGGAGGAAGTAAGGTCAAAAGAAGGAGAAAAGAGGTGGAGGTGGATCTAAATCAGTGACCCAGTTTCCTTGCTTTCTAGAAAGGCACCCTTGATAGGCACTTGTGCTGAGGCAGAGCAAAGCAAGGCTGTACTAGAGAGAAAAAGGGAGCAGCAGAGCCTGTCCTCTGACTCCACCGTGAGACCATGTCAGAGAGCAGGTTGGGAGGACAGCCAAACCGAAGGCCGCATCCAGGATGGCTATGCGTCAGGGACCTGCAGGGGAGACAGAGCCCCCCAGCACCCCCAAACACATGCTCAGAACCTTCCTTCTAGTGATCTTTTCTGTCCTGCCTTGGAGGACTCGTGTACTACATATTTAAGTGGCTACAGTTGAGAGGTGAAGCCAACACACTGGTGAGACTCCATAGGGGTCTGGCCAAGCTGCAGTGACAGGACACAGCCAACAAGAGATTCAGAGAGAACATAAGGCCTGCAAGTTCACTGAGAGTGCACGATGTGCCCAGTGCCAAAAACCGACACAGGCTCAGACTCGGTGATAGTGGCCATAGAAAGGGGAAGCATGTTGGCCGTAGCCCTGCCTAGGCCCCTCTGCAGGAGAGTTCCTAGTGGGCCCTGAAGGATCTGGGAAGCAAAGGGCCTTTGGGCCTGGACCCTGTTCATGCTCATCCTAAAGACAGGAAGTCCACAAAGAGAGGACTCTGGGGAGTGGTTGGTGATGGAGGAGAGGGACGAGGGAAACAGAGAGGCTCAGGGGAGAATGGGAGTCAGTGAGAGAAGGTTCTGGGAAAGGCATATGGCCTTATTACCAGAAAGAAGTTTCTATCCTTTGGAGCTATTCAGAGATGAACCTGGTGGCCTCAGAAGAGCACATTTTGTGAGTACTTTGTGTGAGGCCCTAGGTTGACAGCTTCATGGGGGATTTCTCATACACTCTTTCTACGAATTCTCAATGTATAGCTATAGTTAGCCCATTTTGCACAGGTGGGAATAGGCCCAGGGAGAGCAGGTCTCAGCGTCACATGGCCAGTAAGTGATAGAGTGCAGCCTCCAACCTGGGCAGTCTGACTTGGGAGCACCCATTATTACTCTCGGTGGTACTCTGCCTACTTGGTCCTGAAGGCTGGAGAGTGAATGGTCAGACATTCACTCACATATTTCAAGCAAGACAAACATGAAGTACCTGCTATATGCCCCATGCCAGGAGCTCGTGGAGTTTATAGACAACCCAGCATCCTACTCAGAAAGAGAACTCAATGCTCTTTCTACAGTGGAGTCTCTTTTGGGCCTGTGCCAGACCCCAAATGTTAGGGACATTGCCATTCTAAGCTACATTGGTCTGTGGGAAGCTTGAAGGAGGAGGGACTAGAAGACCCAGGGTGCATCTGATTTATGTGACAGAAACTCTGCATGGACATTGACCTTTAAGGGGAGGTGGGTTAGGAATATTAGGGGTTTTAGGGGTTCCAAAAAAATTTACCAAGTGTCTTCATGAGCTTCTGTTTTCTCAATGGCAAATTTCTGAGACTCCTTCCAAAGGCAAAAATTCTGTCTAGCTTTAGAGCATACTTGCCTCTTTCATAGTACTTAGGAATCTTCAAGATGGTGATGGTTGATTCAGAAATCGTGCTACTGGGTATATATTCAAAGGAAAGCAAAGTAGTATGCTGAAGAGATATCTGCACTCCATGTGGACTGCAGCACCATTCAAACAGCCGAGATAGCTACCAAAGTAGCTATCTATTAACAGATAATAACTAAAAAATATATAGTCATAAAAAAATAAGCCTGGCTCAGTAGCTCATACCTGTAATCCCAGCTACTGAGGAAGCAGAGATAGCGGGGACTGTAGTTTGAGACCAGTTCAGGCAAAAAAAGTTTGCAAGCCCACATCTCAACCAATAAAAAAGCTGAATGTGGTAATTCGCCTATCATCCAAGCTACTAGGTTAACATAAGTAGGAGGATCAAGTCCAGGCCATCTTGGGCATAAGCTCCAGAACTTATTTGAAAGATACCTAACGTGAAAATGACTGGGGGTGTGGCTCAAGTGGTAGAGTGCTTGCCTGGCACGAAGCCCTGATGTCAAAATCCCCAATACCACACCCACACACAAAAAAGCTGAAATCCTGTCACTTTTGTTTACATGGATGAGCCTGGAGGACATTATGTTAAGTGAAATAAACCTGGCACAGGGACTGCAGGTATGGCTCAAGCGGTCGAGGCCCTAGGTTCAATCCCTAGTATCACAAACAAAAAACAGGCACAGAAAGATAACTGAAAGCTAAAAAAGTCAATTCCATATAAGCAGAGAGTAGAATAGCAGTGGTCAGAGGCCAGAAAGGGTAGGAAGAAGGCAGAACAGAATGAAGGGATGGTTAACAGGTACAAAAATACAGTTAGATAGGAGGGACTACAGCATAGTCGGGAGACTCAAAACTAGAAGAGAAGATATTGAGTTTCCAATATAAAGAAATGATATTATCGAGTTGTTAATTGCCTGATTTGATCATTGTACATTGTATACATGTATTCAACTAACACATTGTACCTCATGAATATATACAATTATGATATGTAAATTAAGGTTCTTTGCAGTACTGGGGTTTGAACTCAGGGCCTTGTGCTTGCTAGGCAGCTGCTCTACCACTTGAGCCACGCCCCATCTCTGTAAATTAAGTTTTTAAAGGGGCTGGGGTAGAGTGTAGAGCATTTGCCTGCCATGTGTAAGGCCCTGGATTTGATCCCCAGCAGCACACACACAAAAAAAATGTAAACAAATTTAAATGGTGATGATGGGCAAGTTCCCATCACGAGGGGCTGAAAACCCTAACTATTCCCTCCCTGTTTAGGTTTCCTTAGTTCCTGTTCATACAGGAGAGAGAGAGAGAGAGAGAGAGAGAGAGAGAGAGAGAGAGAGAGAGAGAGAGAGCGCTATGTTTAGTTTTGCCTCAGGTTTTAATTTTCTCCATTCTTTTTTTTTTTTCCTTTTTTTGGCGCTATTGGAGTTTGAAACTCAGGGCCTTGAGCTTGCCACTCAAGGCACTCTGCCACTTGAACCAAACCTCTAGCTCTGCTTATTTTTAGATAGGGTCTCATTTTTAGCCCATACAAGCCTGGACTGTGATCCTCCTATTTTAAACTTCCTTACCTTTGCTGCAATGACAGGTGTGTACCACCTTACCCAGCTTTTTTCTGTTGAGATAAGGTCTCACATTTTTTTGGTGGGCGGGGGGTGCCTGGGCTGGCATTGAATAGCTGTCCTGATCTCAGCCTCCAAAGTAGCTAGGATTATAGGCATGAATCACCAGTGCCTAGCTGATTTTCTCTATTCTTTATTTTTCAGCTTCATTGTTTTTTCCGCTTACCTTTAGTATCTCCTTTCTATTTATTTTGGGTTTGTTTACTTATTTATTTATTTTCAGATCTAACCTAGGGCCATACACATGTTAAGTGTTCACTCTACCACTGGGTTATACTCCCAGTCCTTATTTTGGGTTTATTTGGCTCTTCTTTTTCAGCTTAACGTAAAAATTTATATTTTAAACATTTTTTTCTCTGTTAATATAAATATTTAAAGATATAAACTGGCCTCTAAACACTGTTATAGTTATATCTGTCACTTTTTGATACATTGTTTTTATTGTCATTCAATTCAAATTCTTTTGTGTGTGTGGTGGTGGTACTGATGTTTGAATTCAGGGTTTTGGGTTTGCTAGGCAGATACTCTTATCACTTGAACCACACTCTCAACCCGCAATTAAAATTCTTTCAAATTTCCCTTATACTTTCTCTTTTAACCCAGGGAACATTTAGATGTGTATTGCTTCTTTCTAGGAGTTTGGGAATTTTCCAGGTACCTTTCTGTTACTGTGCTAGCTTCAGTTCACTGATCCTTTCTTTTGCTGTCCACTCTGCTGTTTTCACTGTGGTCAAAGAGTCAATTCTCCATTGCACATACTGCACTTTTCAGTTCTGGAATTTCCATTTGGTTTGTTCTTATTCACAGTGAATATTGCATATCTGGATTCTTTGACCCTAATCTTTTATCTCTGAAGAACACACAATCAGCTTTGATACCACAAAAGGAGGTTTAGGTGGGGGTGAGTGATCTTTAATCCCAGAGTTTGTCCTTGGGAGGCTTAGGATAATTCATGGAACCCAAAGGCGTCTTTAGAGGCAGGTCCTACAGGGGAGGGAAAACAGTGGAAGGATAATGTATAAGAGATCGGAGGACGTGGGGACAGCCCACGCACAAGATGTCAGAGGAGGAGGACTTTTATCTATTCAAGAACACCTCCTCAGTGGGGCCCTGGGATGGGCCTCAGTACCACATTGCCCCTGTCTGGGCCTTCCACCTCCAGGCAGCCTTCATGGGCTTTGTCTTCTTTGCAGGGACACTGCTCATGCCACAGTTCTGGTGGCTACACTACTCTACAAAAAGTTGAGGCAGCCACTCAACTACATTCTGGTCAATGTGTCCCTGGGGGGCTTCCTCTTCTGCATCTTTTCTGTCTTCACTGTCTTCATCGCCAGCTGTCATGGATACTTTCTCTTTGACCGCCACATTTGTGCTTTGGAGGCCTTCCTGGGCTCTGTAGCAGGTACTACAGGGGAAGAGGGCTGGGGAGAGGCAAAGGGCACTACTACTCCAGGGTTGGAACCTTGGTTGACGGGGGCCCTAAGCCCAGAGTAGAATTTTGACCAAAGCAAGATATTTGAGTTTTAAACTCCAAATGTTAGTCCAACCCTGCCTCTCTGGATTTGCTCCACCCAATCTGTATTCCATTCCACTGGGTGGGACTCTGTCTACCCCATTCTCCTCACATTTTGCCACAGGTCTGGTGACAGGCTGGTCACTGGCCTTTCTGGCCTTTGAGCGATACATTGTCATCTGTAAACCCTTCGGCAACTTCCGCTTCAACTCCAAGCATGCATTGATGGTGATTCTGACTACCTGGACCATCGGCATTGGGGTCTCCATTCCACCCTTCTGTGGCTGGAGCCGGTAAGTGCAGGGCAGTGGTTCTGACTTGGCTAGCAGCCTAGCTTGACGTGAGTGGAAAGAGCTTGGGCATTATCTTTCCGTTTTTGACCTATACTTAAAACAGTTGGAGTAGACGAGGCGGAAGGGCTGTGGGAGATGAGTGACATTTACCCTAGAATTACTGATGTTTCTGCTGGTGAGGACAAGAAAATTCCTGTGCCCAAAGCCTTCTGGTATTTCCTGGGATCTAAGTGGAGAACACAACCCAGGAATCTCCCACTAGTGGAGGAATCCCCACTCCATTAATTCTTGTGGCGAACCCAGAGTGAGCAAGCGCTTATTCCATGGGTGACATCTTGGTCCTTTGCAGGTTTATCCCTGAGGGCCTGCAGTGTTCCTGTGGCCCTGACTGGTACACCGTGGGCACCAAATACAGCAGCGAGTACTACAGCTGGTTCCTCTTCATCTTCTGCTTCATTATGCCTCTCTCCCTCATCTGCTTCTCCTACTCTCAGCTGCTGGGGACTCTCAGGGCTGTGAGTGGCTTTCGAGAGGGTCAGGGAGGAGTGGGGCAGGGGTCTCCAGGAGAGGTAAGAGTGAGTGCTCTAGAACATAAGATATATGTCAATGTCCATGGCCAGATGGAGGGGGTTTCTAAAAGTAGCAAAGGAAGTGGGGAGGGGGAATGATGAAACAGAATGAAGAATAAAGGCAGAGTTATCTCTGCTCAAGTGTCAAGAGATGCATGTAGCTGGGGGGCATGGCTCATCAGCAGATGTGGAGGTTCTAAGTTGATTCCCAGCACTTCCAGGGGAGGCAGTGTATGTGATCCCTTCCAACCTTGCAGACCAAAGAGCCACCGCCATCCTGCCTTCCTCAAGCAAGGAGAGCCAAAGACACTCAGCCAGAAAAGAGAGGCAGAGTGGACATTCCCCAACAGAAAAGGGTCCAGAGACCCGGGAGTTGGGGGGGCGGGGGGAGGGAAGAGATGTGATGCTCTCTGTGCTCTGTCCAGGTGGCAGCTCAGCAGCAGGAGTCAGCTACGACCCAGAAGGCTGAGCGGGAGGTGAGCCGCATGGTGGTGGTGATGGTGGGATCCTTCTGTCTCTGCTATGTGCCCTACGCTGCCCTGGCCATGTACATGGTCAACAACCATAACCACGGGCTTGATTTGCGGCTTGTCACCATCCCTGCCTTCTTCTCCAAGAGCTCTTGTGTCTACAGTCCCATCATCTACTGCTTCATGAATAAGCAGGTAAAGCTGTCTACTCACATTCCCATGAGGTCCTGGCCCATAAGTCCCTGGTTCTTTCCGTCAATGATGCTGTACTCAGAGCACCCTGGACTCTCGTCAGAGGGCCTCTAAAGGCAGACAAGAGAAGCCACAGAAACTCCAAGTAGGCTAAGAAGTGATGTTTTTTCTATTTTGGATCTTTTTTCTTTTGTTTTGCCATTCTGAGGATCAAACTCAGCACCTCATTTGCCTCACCCATGCTAGGCAAGTGCTCTACCACTGAGCTACATTCCCACCCCTAGATTTTCTGTTTGTTGATAGTTGTAAGTTCCATTCCCTTCCAAATTCCTCCTGCAGGAGGCAGGTGGCTCTAGACTAGAATTTATAAAGTTTTCAGGATGAGGAAGACTTGCTCGAAACCATCTGAGGAGGGATGGCAGAGCGGCAGAAGAGGTAGAGCGCCTGCCTTGCATGTGAGACGCTAAGTTCAACTCCTGTACCACAAACAGAACAAAAAGCCTCCAAACAAAAACCAAAACCAACCTCCCCCCCAAAAAACACAAAACAACAAAAACCATGAGTAGATGGGTATGAGAGACACTGTGTGTGTGGCTTTGGGGATACAAAGCTTGAGATCCACCTTGCATATGTCTGCCAATGGAGACCATCTCTATTTCTGTCTTTCCTTCTAGTTCCAATCTTGCATCATGGAGATGGTGTGTAAGAAACCCATGACAGATGAATCTGACATGTCTGGTTCCCAAGGAACAGAAGTTTCTACTATTTCTTCTGGCAAAGTTAGCCCGAACTAAGGACTCCACTTTGGCCTATTGGCAGCAAACAGACCTTCACATTTAAGTAAGTTTCTACTTTATCAAAAAAACTAACTAGTACAACACAGAAAAAAGATGGAAAGGGGAGTGATGGCATTTTGAGGAGTCAATTTTTCATTTTCCTTTTATTTTCTTCCTGCCTACAAAGCTACTATTTGCAGCTAAATCTACTTCAGACTGTTCAAAGGCCTTTTCAAAGATCACATTTCCACTCCTAAGTAACATCCTTCAGACTACTCAGAGAACTCTGAGAATATGGCTGATACTTTAGTGTATGGTTATTACTTTTTATTTTCAGTAAACTTCTATGCCCCACATCAGGGGTCCAAGATGATATATTCCGGGTTAGAACAAACTTAAGAAAACACCTTAGAGATGGGAGATGGGAAAGAAAAATGAAACAAACCCCAAACACTTACTGGTAGGTCTCAAATATGAGTGTGAGAGAACTTTCTTATGCTATCTCTGCCAATAGTTGTTATAGCTTTGGCTGGGGCAGCCATGTCCGTAAGCCCCTGTGCCACACTGAAATATTCTAGGTGCGCCTCTGCTTACTTTGGCTAAAATAATACATCTGATGTAAGCTGCACATTAGTTTATGGCCCTGATGTTTTAAAAATGAACTTGCATGTATTAATACCATTTACAACCTATACCAAGTGTTAAGAAAGTTTTACATTTTTTTTTCCACCCTCAAAAGAGCCTTCTTGAAATAAACACCAAGATAACTGTGTGTACATCTACCACACAAGGAATGTATGTGGTGTCAGGTAATTATGCAATGCCCTGGGCTGCTCTTCAATGATATGGCCTCTGGAAAGTAGAGAAGGGCTACAGCTGAGTAAAAGGATGCTATAAGACTCTAGAAATAGGAGGAAAGGAATAACTAATTTGGGAGAAGGCAGTACTTTCTCTGGGGCTGGGAGGAGGTATGGTGAACCTTCTACAAGAATTCCTTTTCTGTGGCATTTTATTATATTTTATTTTTGCAGTAATGGGGTTTGAACTCGGCCTCGCACTTGCTAAGGCAGGCACTCTTCCACTTGAGGTTCTCTGCCAGCCCTGTGGCATTTTATAGAGCCTATAATCCTAAGTGAGTTCCATTTCTAAGAGAATGAAAGACACACATACTCCCAATGAATGTAAACAGTTTTATTTAGAAACAGATAGGTACCTGTTTGCATTATAGAATATAAAACTTGGTTTACACTCTATAAAAAATAACCAATATCCAAATTCAAGAGAGCTAGCACTCATAGAACACATACTGTGGGGATGCAGCCACTGCTCACCTGCTTCAGGCTTGATTTACCCTCCCCACTCCCTCCCCCAAAAAAGCCAAAACACCCCATGGCACTCCAAGGGGCTCACGAAGATGAGAGTACAGTGCTTGCTGCTGAGTATTCCGCATCCAGAAGCTGCCACCCTAGCAGATAATGGTTTGCTGTCTAAGTGGGTGATTTTCACATCAGGCCTGGGCTCTGTGCACCTAGTGAGCTGTAGGGCTCTCTTGCCACACAGTTCACGATACATGCTCTCTAAGCCAAGATTGGTGGCATTATCATCGCTGGTCTGAACATAAAAAGGGGGAATCTGGAGGGCAGAGAATGCCCATTACCTTATCTTAGGGCTAAACTTGAGAGTGTGTTTGCTATCAAGAGCTCGATGCAAAGGCTGGGGTGAAGTTATTTAATACCTGGCTGTTTATCATACCAAGCAGCCCACACTAATAGGATTACGGAAGACCAAAGGTTATATCTAGGTTCAGATATAATCATCACCCAGCACCACCTGAATGTATTATCTAGAGAGATATAGGAAATAATAAAGGTTATATGTACATGTATTTATCTTAGTAACCTGAGGGCTAAAGACTTAGAATACAATAATTCTTCTCAAGAAGTCCACTGGTAAGAAAGGGACCAAACTGACATAGTTCATGGTACATAAAACAGGAGAGTTGGGAACAGAGGGTGGTTTTGATAAGGATTGGCAACCTGCTGATCCATGAAGACACCTTTTTTGGCGACAAAGAGAAGAGGATGAGGGAGTGGGGTATGATGGGTCAAAGGCAGGACGGGTGAGCAGTGGTCCTCAAACCAAAGAGCACTCTCTGCAGTTCTTTCCACTCTCGAGGCTGAGTGCAAGCTCTCTGGTGGACAGGGAGGCCTAATAGTGAGTGGTTTGCATTCTGAGGTATGAGGATCCCTGGTAAAGTCAGCAGCATGTTTTTGGAAACCAGCCCACAAGATAAGAACACTGCAATCAAGCTTGTAACTAATACTGCTTTTTAACTACTGTCCAAAACAGAAAAGGAAGGAAAAAACAACCCCATTACATCAGGAGGTTCTAAGGTTTTATATAAGGTGGTTCAAATAATCTCTTTACTTATCTTAGGGTTTCTTAAGCAAATTTCTATTCAGTGATTGTTTCTCTCATTAAAGGCACTTTCAATGACATGACTGGGGTGAATTTTAACTGCAGCGAGAAACCAAGATTAATTCTTGGAGAAGGAGGTGCCAGATGGTGAACTTACAGTGATTTCAGTAACTTCAACAGGCATACACCCAGAAAAATGTATGCTCTGCACACACTTGTATTTTTCCAGCTGGAAACAGCTCTATAAAGAACTAGAAATAGCTCTGTAAAGAGATCACACTCAGTACTTGATTGATTTTCAAGACACTGGCCCTAACTTTTCCCACCACAGCTGTGCTTGACAAAATTAGCAAATAGCTAGTCCTATAAGGAGGAAAAAAGAATGAAGTCAAGTTGAGTCAGGCTGTCTTTCAGCACAGGGATCTGTAATTGCCCACATGATGTCAGGCTGTTGCTGGACCTATAGCAACTGAATGGAATACATGGATTGGCCCTATCACTTGTGAAATGTGAGACTTTGTAATAGGCAAAATTAAGCATTATATCTGTAAATATAAATCATGGAGTACACATTTTTTCCTTTTTTTCCTCCTGAACATTCTTACTGATCTCAGGCTTAAAAAATTAGTTAAGAGAGAATTATAAAAATTATATAAGGGGTTGAGAAAGAGTAAAGGGCTAATGTTTGCCTACGAGTGTGGGTTGAGGATCTTGATCCTTCATATCATACTCCCAACTACAGGACAATACAAAAATAAACACACCATGTTATACATTATACAAAGTGTAAATCTACAAACACAAGTGTACTAATTAGAGTTGTTCCTCAGAAGCATGGTTTCCCTCCAGTTCCTCGGAGAGGAGGAGGAATAGGACGGGATGGTTTTCATTATTTCATTATGCCTTTTCATGTCATAAAAAGTTTGTAATAACAGTCTCAGTAGCGCAAACAATTTCATGTGATTCCAGAAGCTGTAAAAATAAATTACTTTTGAAGAAATGTAGGTTCTTGTCTCCAGCTCAGAACTCATCATGTCGTACTAAGGCTTCCCCAAAATCTGTGGCCTGACTGCCCACAAATAAATCATACTTGTCAACAATCTCCTCCTTGGTAAGCTTGCCATCCTGAAATTAGAGAGCAGTGTGAAATGAAGCAGCATACATATTTCCCATTCCAACTTTAAGTGCAGTTTCTGCTGTAGAATAATAGAGGTTAATCTGGAATGAATATTCTAATTCCCACTAAATGTGAACTCAACCACTGCCCCCCTATCTCTCCTTCACACAGAGGGGAGAAAATAACAATGAATACATTTCTCTTGTCAAGAAAATTGAAAGTGAAAGGATAGGCATAATGTAGCTCAACAAATCTCTGACAGGTTTGTTTCCCAAGGAGCGAACTCTCCCTTTAAAGTAAAACATGAGGCATCTGATGACATGGGCGAGAGATGGTCAAGTAGTGGGCAAATACTTCAAAGTTAAGTCAAGTCACTCTCTAAAAGGAACAATGAAATCTGCCAGTATCAATCCTGTTCGGTACCTCTACTCTGTCCTGATCACCAAACAGATGATATACACCTAAAGAAGGCTCAGATATTCAAACAGCATTGAGATTCCCAAAGGATGACTGCTCTACTTCCTCTTCTCACACAGCTCAGGACATGGCACCTGGGGACTCAAGTGACTCTGAACAATAACTCAAAACAGATCAACCCTTAAAATGGTTCTAAGATAAACTGTACTTGAGACTGCAGATCAGTCTAGATTAAAAAAAAAATCCTAAACAACAATTAGACTGATTTTGTTTACTCTAAGCAGAGCACCCAATCTCTGAAAAGGTGACAGGGGTTTAGTGGTAACACTCTGAGTGAACTGAAGGCCTCAGATAATTGATCAAGGAAAATTTTAATAGGCCCCAGAAAAAAGTTGGTTTATGACCTACTGCAAAGACCTAATTTTTAACAGTATATTTTATTTAAGAAGGCAATAACCAGCTTTGAGGAGGCAGAATAATTCTGTAACAGGTAAAAAAACAAAGCAAGTAACAACGCCAAAATTTTAAAACGCAAGGAAATTTCCTGGGATCCAAAAATAACAGATGATGCATGCTGGATCCAGGCTACATACAGAGGCTCTTTTCTGAATCTAGATTCTTCCAAAGCCAGGACCGCTAGGGAAAGGGATTTCTAAAATGAGATCAGATAGCTAGTGCTGCTCTGAAGGTTTTCAATCACCAACTTTAGATCCCTAGCAGACTTAGGTTAATTAAGTCCTTAAATGCTCTATGTACCTTGATAAATTTTTCTTTTAGGCAATCTACTGGAAATAGACTTGGATTACTGCTAGACTGCTTTGGCCTGGCCAGACTTACCTTGTTTTGGTCTGATTCATAGACTAGGTGCCTGGCTTCTGCCTCTGCATGGTCATAGTCTGAGGGGAGGATCCAGTCTTTCGTCTCTTCCTTGTCCATCTTCCCATCACGGTTCTTATCTCGAAACTCTACAAACTGTTCTCGCTCTGTCTTCACCCATTCTGGTTCATCAGCATTTCCATCATGACTGTACATGTCACCTGTATGCATAGAATGACAAAAGAAGAATTGGTCTTTTTGCAAAAACTGCCTCATGCTAATCTGGCTCAAACTTTCTTCCTCATCTATATGTTTAGAACCTAATAGCAGTTACATGGACATCTGGGCTAGTGAGACCTTAGGGAAAAAGGTATTTTCCTGGGGCTTAATTACTGATCTTGCAACGAGAGTATCTCCAGCTGTTGATTTTGAGTAACATGAAAGCAAAGGATATGGTTCCATGGGGGAAGTAAACTGAAAGTGAGTAAGAAACAGGAACATTAATTAATTAGCTACCTTGGGGTGAAATACAGAGAACAGCTAGTCTTAATCTTTCTTGGTGCTGTCAACTCCTCTTATTAAACTGGATCACTGGTTTTAGAAGGTATAGTTTAACTTTTATTTATTTTCATTTTTTGATGGGACTAGGGTTTTAATGCTTGATAGGCAGGTGCTCTAACACTTCAGCCATGCTTGCAGCCCAGAAGGTAAAGTTCTGAATTCTCAAGAAAACTTGAAGTGTATCTTCTAAGCCAAAACTGTCTTCCAATCAATTCCTACATAAAGTGCATCATACCAGTGGTCTTCAGTCAGGACAAGTATGCCCCTGGGCAAACAGGAGTTAAGGAGTTAAGGAGTCCACTGGGAAGGGACAAGTATGCCCCTGGGCAAACAGGAGTTAAGGAGTCCACTGGGAAGGGACTGTCATGAAAGAATAAAATCCCAGATCCCAGTTTTTACTAAAAATTTGCGTAAGAGTGGAGCTCTGAACACCAAGCCTTTTTTCCTGTCTCCCTTTTCACAATCACCCTTTCCCCACTGTATAGGAGAAAGTCTTAGCCATCATGAAACTTGCTAAAGCATAAAAATTCCATGATGACAAAAAAAAACCCCAGACAATTAGAATCATTAGTGTAGGCCTTGAGAGAGCAGATGTTTGAAAAAATGGATAACAAATGCTTTTGTGTAAGAGGTTCTAATTCTTTACTTTAAAAAATGCTGAGTCTAGTTGAGTTTTAGCTATGAGATCATTAAAAATATTTTTTGATGATAGATTATGTGATTTTTGGCATATAACTCAAAGAGTTATATAGGATAGGAATATCAACCATTCCTATCAACTTATTTACAAGGTCTAAGGTACTTTCTCAAGAAAAAAAAAAAAAAAGAAAACCAGGAGTTTGTACTTAATTCTTTTTCCCTCTAAGGACAAATACAAAATAATCTGGGGGAAGAGGGGAACCCACAATAAAGAAGTTGGGTATGATGGTGGTAAGCCTAGTACTAGGGCCTGAGGCACCAACGTTAGTAGCCAGGTTATCAGCCTGGGCTATTTAACAAGAGCCCATTTCAAAACCCCCCAAAGCTGGGGATGTAGCTCAGTGGTAGCTCACTTGCCTAGCTTATTCAAAGACCTAGTTCCTTTTTACTTATTTTGGAGACAGGGTCTCACTATGTAGCTTAGGCTGGCAACCTCAAACTGGAGGTCCTCCTGCCTCAGCCTCCTGAGTGCTGCGATTACAGGTGGGCACCACCCATACCCGGCTTTCCTTTTTAATTATTATTATCATTTCTTTTCTTGGACTGGGATCTGAATTCAGGGCCTTCACCTTGAGCCACTCCACCAGCCCTTTTTTGTGATGGGTTTTTTCGAGATAGGGTCTTGAGAACTATTTGCCTGGGATGGCTTTGAACTGTGATCCTCCTGATCTCTGCCACATGAGTAGCTAGGATTACAGGCATGAACCACTGATGCACGGCAGGAATATAAATGTTTATGGAGACAGAAATGCTAATTATCTTGATTTGTTCAAAATACACCACATGCATGTATTGAATTATCACACTGTACCCTATTATATGTACAGACAATACGGGTCAATTAAAATACCTATTATGTCTCAAAGTAAAATGAAATTTATAACAAAAATCAGTAATTGCAAAAAGATTTGCTCAATTACTTGGTAAGAGAAACAGCTTTTTTTTTTTTTAAAGTCACGGGAAGGGGCTGGTGGAGTGGCTCAAGTGGTAGAGCGCCTGCCTAGCAAGTACAAGGCCCCGAGTTCAAACCCCAGTGCCACCACAAAAAAAAAAAAAAAAAAAAAAAAAGCCATGGGAAAATTTTAAAATTACTCTGAGGATTATGAAAGCAGAGCTTTACTTGGGATATATTAGCCTCAAAAGTGTAGTGTACTTACCCATAAAGACAACTAAAATGGAAAATAACCAAAACAAACATACATCCTAAACAAAAAGGAACGTAGCAAACTTTCTGTTCATGAAAACATGAACAGAACACAATGAAAAGGCAAGATTATAAGAGGTATCAGTAAGAATTTGTTGCTTATTCACTCACCAGTCTACTTCTTATCTCTTTTTCTTGGGTTTCTGAATGCTTCTCTAGGCTTCCTACAACTTTTTACCATCAATTCCATAGAGCATCTGGGATACACTGTATCTGTGCTGCATAGTACTTGTTTTATAATGCGGCTACTTGTAAAATGAAAATTACACACATGGCTAATATTTCTATTTTGATTGAATAGTGGTGCTATGGATACCTTTATCACAACTCACTATTTAGCATACTGGTCTGTCTGGCTTAATGATTTTGTAAGAGTTGACCCATGAGGTAAATTGCTTCTATGGGTGATTACATCTTCCAAAGTATTTCAGCTTCTTCTAAGAAAAATATGAAAAAAGATGGGATGTGGCTCAGGTGGCCTAGTATATGTGAGGCCCTAAGTTCAAACCCCATACCATCTTCACCCACAAAAGAAACACTAGAAACACAGACTTACCAATGTATTCTTCTAGATCAATGAAACCATCAGCATTCTTATCTATATCTTCCATTGTTTCCTAAACAGAAAAAGAACAAGAAGAGATTATTAAAGTTAATCTCTGAGCTGGTGCTGTGTAATCCTACCTGCTCAGGAGGCAGAGATCAGGAGGACTGAGGTTCAAAGCCAGCCCTGGCAAATAGTTTGTAAGACCCTATCTTGAAAAAAACCCATCACACACACAAAAAGGTCTAGTGGCTCAAGGTGAAGGCCTTGAGTTCAAATCCCAGTACTGGAAAAAAAAAAAAAAAAGCAAACAGTAAAGTTAATCTGTGAATGAGTTTGCCAGAAAAAGAATATGGCATGTCTGTATGATTAAAGCCACTGGAACTGGTTTTTTTCTAGCTGGAGATGGTAAAGTAATAGCAACCTCTTATGTTTCCACCTAAAATAATTAGGAGTCTTTGTGGTGGAACAATGACACTGCTTAATGGTAGTAGCCCTAGTCATGCTGAAGTTATGCTAATAGCAGATGTGGTGTGTTTATGTCTATAGCTATAGTCTATGCTATTGGTAATTGTCTTCAGTATCACTGTTATTACTTAGTTTTTGACCACTGATCATAGCATATTTTAAAATATTGGATCTCCTCCCATTTTTTTTTAAAAACAATCAATGATTTCATTTAGTTAAATTTGGATACATGCTTTAGAAAAGTTTGGGAAACTGTGACCAAGGAACTCTTGAAAAACAACTATAAAAGAACAAGATTTCATGAAGTACTCAGGTTTAAGACATACACATACAACAAGAATTGTAATAAGGTATTTATGGATCAGAACAAAAGCTACTATGATATCTTGCCAAAAGCATAAACCATTTTTTAGGCTTTTTCTTGGCAGTACTGGGGGGTTGAACTCAGGGCCTCACCCTTGCTGGGTAGGTGTTTTATCACGTGAGCCCCTCCTCCAGCCCTGAGTTTGGGTATTTTTGAGATGGAGTCTAACTTTTTGTTTGGGTTTGCCTCAAACCTCTATCCTCCTATCTCTGCCTTCTGAGTAGCTAGGATTAAAGGTGTGAGCCACCAGTGCCCAGCTTCAGATTTTCTTTTGAGGGTTCAAAAAGAACCATACTTCATTTAGTGTACAGTTTAAAGGCCAGTCTTAAACAAATGATCCCCTTTTCTAAATGGTCGTATCTGCTATTAGCCTGACTTCATCATGACTAGGACTACCATCATTAGATATCAGATAAAATGGTAGAGAAATACAGTCCTCTCTATTCCCAATACTGCATAGTAAGTATGCTTCTTCCTCCAAAGCCAAGAATTCTTCCCTGAAGAATGCAGTTGCTCTAAGCTAGTTTATTACTGATTAGTAAAAACACTTACAAAACTAAACTTGTTACATTTTGATAAAGACTTAAACAGGGAACAACTTCAAAGACCAGCGCTTTTTAGATGAAAAACCTAGGGCCCAAGGAAGTTAAGAGATTTGTCCAAGATTGTATTTAGTTAATGTCAGATCTAGAATTGGGAAGAACCTAATCAGACACTTTCTCCCACCCAGCAAGGTAACCGTCCCTGTTCATGAAGAATGCACTGGTTTTAGTCCTTATTTCTTACATGTTGGCTACCATAGTAAGACAGTGAAGAAGAAATGGCTCACTGCCAAGCACAACAAGGGCACTGGCCTACAAGAAAAGTCTTCCCATTCTTACTTTATGAAGCTTCCAATTAAATGGCAAAATATATTATCTGACGGAAAGTATGCTAAACAAAGCCTAAGGCACTTGAGAAAAACAGAAATGCGACTTTGACTGAAAATCTGGCCAGTACTTATATACCAAGTCACTTTTGCAAACACATAGGAAAGGCTAAAGGGGAGGAGAGACAACAATAAGTAACAGAAAGAGAAACTGAGTTCTTGTTCAGAATCTTTGATTTTGCCCACCTGCACTACTATGTCTTTCATATACTCGTACTCTTCAGGGTGCAGGAAAGCCGTGAATTCCTCCTTTGTGGCAATGAGGTCTCCATCCTTGTCTGCCATCTTAAATCTCCGCTCATCTCTAACCATCATCTGCTTATAATTAAATCCATCATCAGGGTCTGGATCATCTAGAAAACAAAAATTTAGGTCAAAACTTAAAAGGCTTCCAGAAAACATGAGTATGTGTGGGCTGGGAAATCAACTTCCAAGAAAGACAAACCAACAACTGAATAACTCTTGATTACACAGGCAAAATTAAAACAAGCAAAGAAGAAATGATTCTTGATTACATAAGCAGCGGTATAAAGACATTTAGGTTGGGGCAAAAGCTCCAATAATAATACTCAGAATCAAGGCCAAGTTGAATGTAAATGTTTGCCATTAACATGGAACTCTAGCTCCTGGGTTACCTAACTCAGTATATGTAATGCTTCCCTGTTATTGGTATTAAGGCTACTAGAAGGCTTCAATTCCTAGTTTGGAGGCAAGAGTAGTTCTAAAGTCATGATGTCTGGGTTTTAATTCTACCATTCCTCATTGAGTGACCACAGACAAGTAACTTAACTGTTACTTGGTCTCCCATCTGTAAAATGAGGTGCCTCATAGGGTTGTTATATGAGGTTTAAATAAGGAAAAAAAAAAAAGCTTAGAACAATGCTTGGCATATAGTTGGCATCCAATAAATGTCAATGAACTTAAACATTAAGTTCCCATTAAAAAACTAGATATCAAAGGTCTTTGTTCCATTTTAAGGTCCCTTGGATTCAAGCAACAGTAAATCACCACTTTGAAAGGTTACACTGTTTTGTTGATTTTTGTTTGTTTGTTTAGTTTTTTACAGCCAACTTAGAAATCTACCAGTTACAAGCACTAATTATCCTTCACTTAGGTAAAATTCTAGAAAATGAAAATTAATCTAGAGCTACAGAAAGCAGGCCACAGGGGCATGGGAAATGTGAGAGACATGAGGAAATTTGGGAGGAGGGCACTGATAGATATGTTCATTATTTGAACTGTGGTGATGATTTCAGCGGTGTACACACATCAAAACTTAGTAACTGTGCACTTAAATATGTAGTTTATTGTATGTCAATTATACATTGATAAAGCCATTATTAAAAAAATAAACATTAGTTTACAACCAAATTGAATACAGACTTTTCTACCTGTTATGATGTTGAACTGCACAAGCAGCAGTTATTCTCTGTATGAGCATCTAGCAGAATAAAATATAATTTCCATAAGCTGAAAAAATGTGAAGGAGTTAACTGCAGAAAAGGAGTAAGAAACTGAGTTGCTATGTGAAGCAATGAGTTAACAGATGTGAAGATATTTTGAAAAGTGGAAGATACCACATTAAAGATGAGAAATTATTGTTCCCATAACATGTTTAAATAAAAAAGATATGGCACTATTTTTCTAACAGACTCAAAGATCCCTTTAACAAATGCACCATATTGTTGACCTTTGATATTCTAAGTCAATCTTTTTTTTTTGGCTGTACTGGGGTTTGAACTCAGAGCCTCGTACTTGCTAGGCAGGTAGGTGCTATACCACTTGAGCCACTCCTCTAGCCCTTTTTTGTGTTTGGTATTTTTGAGATAGGGTCCTTGTGAACTATTTGCTTGGGCTGGCACAATCTTCCTGATCTCTGCCTCCTGAGTAGCTAGGATTATAGGCACGAGCCACTGGCACCCTGCATATAAGTCAATCTTTCTATACTCCAGGCACCATTTAAAACAAACAAACAAACAAAAAAACCCTTTTTTTGGAGAGTTAGCTGCTTGAAGCTACTTTGTTGCATGTCAAAAATTTAGTAAGACCGCTTATTGAATCATAAGGCTTCTGAATTCCACATACGTATACTGAAAAGCCGTAATAAATGGGGGATGGCAAATTTAAGGAAAATACTGATCTTTCTCATATATCAAGTTTCAGTGTCAACTATGTAATGTAGAAGAAAGGTAATAAAGTTAGCTTACACTTTCAGACTAGATTCCTAGCTAAGAGTCCTCCTCCTCACTCCTTATACTAAAACATGGTGACTGGAATCAAGTAGTCTAACTGCAATATGTACATATAAAAGAATGGAAAATGGAAGATGCAATGCCTTATTTTTAGTGATGAAATGTCTATGCCTATAGCCCTGCTTGGAATGCAGTATTTATCCTAAGCACCAGTTTACGGTCCTCACTGCCCTTATGTACAGCTTTGGGTGGGCTCTTACTCTAGTTTTGGTATAGGTAGGGCTGATCTTAGTATTTTGCATTTTACTTGTGGCAGAGACAGGGTTAAAATTCCCTTTTAGAATAGTGGATTCGCTGAACAGATTTTAAGAGCTAAGATGATTTATACCTGAACTGAAACTGGATCAAGAACACATTCTCACAAAAACTTAACACTTATCTAAGCCAACTTGCTACCCCGAGGATTGTTCACTCATAGACCTCCTGGGAAAGATGCCTTATAAAGACATTAATTTCCAGCCAGTGCTTGGATTTGTGTATAGTCTCGGAGAGTAGAAATACCCATTACATTGAATCATCTGCCTCATGAGGCAATAGAGATCTCAACAGATTTTTATGCATGCAATCACACACAGTTGAGGCATTATTCTGGGCAGCAAGTGAAGGCCTAGGTCTGAGCTGAGATTTATCAGCACACCATTTTGTTTAGATCACCAATAGCTTAGCCTACCCTTTGCTTTATATTTATAATTAATTTTGGTTAAGTCAGGAGGATGTTGGGTCTCAGCCAGAGAGCAAGAAAAATGAAATGCCTCTCCATCTGTGCTGGCTTTTTAATACATGTGTTCTTAATTGGGTGGATATGTTTGGTTCTTGGCTAGTGAGAGAGAGGATGCCACTTTAGTCGCAGCAATGAGAACAAGCCCAACACAGAAATAAGTCTAGAAACACAAGCAGTCCTATGATCAACATGGACAGCTGGCTATCTGACTGCTAGTCAGTGGTAGGAAATGCTTTCTTTAACTCAGAAGTTTGCCTGATTTCCAGATAAAGACACAAAAAGTACCACTTAACTCTTTCCATGTATTATAGAGGAATCTCTATAAATAAAATCACCCTATAAAAGTGTCAAAGTCAAAGAAAATAGCTAACAGGTGGCCCAAATAAATAGAAAGGCTACCAAATCAACAACAAAAAGCAATCAAAAACATTTATTTGCCTTGAAGCATTTGCAAAGCAGGCCAATAAACTCATGTGCCAGAGAAAACAAATGGGAAATTTTAAATTCTAAACTTCAGTAGACAAACACACTGACAGCTATTTTATTTTATTAAGGAAAGAGTCATTTTTCTCCTATTTTCACCAGTCATAAAGGAATCTAATTTGGTTTGAATTTCAGGCCCAATATTTTAATGGTACTATGGCAAGAGGTGGCTCAATGCCTCTTGCTTTGCATTATTGGAACAATGTAGCTTTTTAAATGAGACCAAAAATTGTCTTTGAAGGACAAAGAATAAATGGTAAAATACATTTCAATGCTAAAGATGTAGAAGATGCCACACTTAGGAAAACCAAAATTAAACAAAATTTGAAATACATAATGTAGAAATTTAAAATTAAGAAACCAAAGGATAATCAGCTCAGCATCAAAGTATTTAAGATAGGCACAATTTCTTCCTTTCTTTTACATGGGACCCATTTGTTTCTCTGACTCAAGACCACAGTCTTGGCCAGGCTGACATCTTGCCCCTTACCCAGGTAAGTGCCATAAGTCACGTTTCTGTACTCATCCCAGGAGATTAAGCCGTCTTGATTCATATCAAACTCCTGCCATTGGTTTTCAACATTGTCATATATGTATTTCTTCTGGGCGTGCTTAATCCAGGATTTCAGCTCCCCCTCCGTCACAAACCCATCTTTATCCGCGTCTATTTTATCTACAATCATTCTACAAGACAAAACAGTTACGTTTCAAGGTGCCGGCTCCACAAGGCCTTTTCCCCTAGATAATAGGGACCTACCTAAAACGTAGCCGTAGGTGGCATTTTTATACTCCTCCCAGGAAACGAGGCCGTCCTCATTGAGGTCATGCCCCTTCCACTGTCGCTCTACATCCTCGTAAATCCAGCGCTTTTGTGCAAATTTAATCCAGTCTTTGAGCTCATCCACAGTGACAAACCCGTCCTTGTCGCCATCTATTTTACTTACAATCTTTCTGTAGAAAATGCAGAGAAATCCAGCAAGAGGTTAAAAGGACACAAGGCTCTGGACATTAGCCAGGTGTGTGCTGTGACCACAGGTGTTGCTAACACACAGAAATCAAAACTTGGCTCCAAAACAAAACTGCCAGACAGGCAGCTGACTTATTTTTTTCTCTAACTGGCCCACTCTTGATCTGTTATGAGCCAATTGGATAATGTAAACAAATCTATGGATGATCACTGGGTCCAAAAGTAAACCCAGCCAGTCTCTCAGTTAGGGCTGAGCTTATGGGCAGAATTCAGGAGTGAATATCCAAGTCCATCTTGGTTCTCACTCTTTTCATTAAACATGTAAATATTTGTATTTTTCTTCATGGTGTTTACAAAAGAATCTCCATTTCTTGGTAAATAATCACAATTACTAACAATGGTTTTCTGAAAATTCAAAATATTTAAATCATACTTTAAAATGTGGCTGCTTTTATAGTTTTTGTTTTTGTTTTCTTTTTGTCTTCTCTATTTTGGTGCTAGGGATCAAACTCGGGGCTTCACACATGCTAGGCAAGTGCTCTATCACTGAGCTTCATCCCATCCCAAATTTAGCTACTTAAAAAAAAAAATACTTTTGTTGAAAATACAAAGGTATAGTTCTGGGATCACATATATGTCAAGGCAAGATTGTTTTAAAAAGATACGCAGACAGGAGGATGTTTGTCTACAAAAACGCCAGCAGCTTTTAAATACCATGTTATGTTGAGTTGAATTTTTACATTTAACCATGAAAAGAGAGACCTCTGTGGAAAATGACGTAAGGAGGCATTGCTCCGATTATAATACTGTTAATAAACTCACAGGGTTAGTGTGCAGATTATAAAGCAAAGCAACGCTAAAGAATCAATCCACTTCTCCCTTCAGACTTCTTTCTTCCAGATCTGTCATTTTAATGTAAGGATTTAAAAATGGGTTCATGGACTGGAGGTGTAGCTCAAGTGGTAAAGTACTTGTCAAGCATTCATGAGGACATGGGTTCAATCTCCCAGCACCATAAAAAAATTTTGAACAATTAAATTATGCTCATGATATGAAATTCCTAAAGATTTAATTACCTACTTACATAGACTATGTAAAATCACACATATAAGTGGCCCAGCTCAGAATGGAAACTTTAAATCAAAATTTCCAACAAAAGTGAAATCTCAGCTGGGGTTGTTGGTACATGCCTATAATCCCAGCACATGGGAGGCTGAGTTGAAGGACAGTCTGGGCTACATAGCTAGACCCTTTTTCAAAAAAACAAAAACAAAAGCAAAACAAAACAAAACAAAAAACCGAGAGAGAGAAAGAGTGAAGTTTAATCCTGGTACACTTCTATGCTGAAGAAGACTGCGTTCTCTTTGATAGAAAATGTTTCCTCCCAGTTTGTGTTCATTTCACGAATAGAGCATGGCAAAGTGATCACAATCACAGAATACCAGCAAAACTATGAACACAGCCTCCTCATACTGATACGGCATTAGCTGTGACTATTACTTAAACCCTGTCAGTAACAAGCATTTTCCTTCAGAGAATGTATAATCTTTCAGCTTTACCTCTACAATGCTAATAGGAAAGGTAAAACAGTAACATGTCATCTCCTAAATACCCTCACCTCTATCTCCATGGACATAGACACAATGTTTTTGCTACTTTTATTTACAAAATTTTAATATCAACAGATTGAAAACTTCTGCATAATGGGGTCTAATTTGTACCCAAATGATATGTGCTACCAATAGTGCCACTGTACTGTTAGGAAAAAATGGGCAAATATCAGAACCCCTCCTCTCCCAAGAAGATACTTTTAAGCTATTATAAATAGCTTAAAGGATCACTCAGATTAAAAAAAAAAAGCATATGACTGTTCAAGAAGGACTTTTCTTAATGAAGGTGGCTAAACAGTATTCTATTCAATGGAAATATCCTAGATGGTTTGATCTAGAGGTTGGTAAACTCCTGGAAAGAGACAGACAGTAAATATTTTTTACTTTGTGGGCCATATATGGTCTGTTGGGAGCATAAGCATATACATACACTCATATACACAAACAACACTCTAAAAACACACCCAGCCTACAACTGTTATGAAAGTACAATGGAAGTGGACATGCACTACTGAAGGCCTGAAGCTCTAAACTGATCTTTAGAAGCCTGTGTATATTTACGAAGGTACTGATGATTAGGATATAGTAATGATGCCACTGAATAAGTATTTATTCCAGGATAGACACAATGCATTTAGTGGACTCATATTATTTCTTAGAGGTAACATATACCTCCCATTTCAAGTAGCATAAAGAAAAAATTCTTTAGCTTTTTATGTTTTTGAAAGGATTTATTCCAGAAAGATACATACTACTTCTGAAATCTTCCAGGATGCAAAATTTGATATATACTCACATATGTACTTTTCTGAGGAACAGCCCTGGGCTTTTGTTAGACTCCCAAGTGAGCCTGTGATCAACTACCCTAGTTCATTTCTATAGCAAACATATCAAGGACAAGAATTTTTTAATCTTAAGGACCACCACCTCAAAACAACAAACACCTTCATTTGAAGGACACATACATGGAAATTAAGTATATCTAGAATTTTGGGAGCCTAGTGAGGGAGAGGGAGAATGGTAATATACAGAGGAAAATGTCCTATTTGTCAACACTCCTAATAAGAAAAAGGGCTGGATGCCAGTGGCTCAGGCCTATAATCCTACTACTTGGAAGTCCAACCTGGCAAACAGTTTGTGAGATTCCATTTCCAAAATAACCAGAGCACAATAGACTGGAGGCATGCCTCAAGCATTTAAGTGACTACTTTGCAAGTTTAAAGCCCTGAGTTCAAACCCCAGTCCCACCAAAAAAACCAAAAAAATCAAACAAAAAAACCCCCCTGAAAATTGTACATTAAAATGGTTTTAAAGTGATTCCCATGTTCTTTTAGGTATTATTGAAGATTTCAAAAATTTTCCAACTATAGATTATATGATGACTTTTCTCTTAATAATCACTTGCCCTACAGACAGATGAAAAGGGTTAGGGGGAACCTTCTAACCTCTACTCTACAGTTACTTACCAAAACAACATTTGCCACAGTAGATATGTTTGTTTGTTTGTTTTTTTAAAGTTCACCTGAGATTTTTTTGGGGGGTCAAGAGTTTCACTTAGCTCAGGCTGAAACCATGATTCTCCTACCTAGCTTCCCAAGTGCTGGAATTACAGACATGTGCCACCATGCCTGGCTTTACTTCCAAAAGTAGTCACTGCATAAATCAGGAATATTTGTCACTATCCAAATTTGGGAGAAGCAAACAGTACTTAGTTAATTTATAATTCTATAAAGACATGGTTTTTTTCATCTTATTCTAATTAAACACAGTCTGCTCATGTGTTAAACTTCTGATATTTACCGATGATGAAAAGTTCTTCTCTACTGAAAACTGTTAACAGAGCTATTCCACTACCTGCAGAGTCAGAATATCCTCAGTAAAGTACCATCTACCCTAAATGTCCCCAAACCTAAGGACATTTCATTATTTACGAGTAATTCTGTAAAGAGATTTGTGCTGACCTAAGTGTGGATTTAATGTGTATATTAATAGGCATGACAAAGACTGAGGACATGTTCACCATCTCTATTTTCAGCTTGGAATGCTAGCACATGTATAAGATTAAAACTGAAAGTGAGGATGGTGTCTCTCAAAGTTAGAAAAGCAAGCTAAAGACTGATTTTTCTCTTCTTTTCCTTTTATTTATTTATTTTTTAAGGCAAGGTCTTGCTACATAGACAGGTTGGTCTATAATTCACTATGTATCCCACATGGGTCTCGAACTTACAATCCTTTTACCTCTAAATGCCAAATGCTAGGATTGCAGGCAAGTGCTACCATGTCCAGGTCTAAGGACTGATTTTTTTAATATATGTTTTCTGTATCTACTTTCAAACCTAGGGGTAGTTTTTCATTCTCTATAGCAAAATCTTTCGATTACTTCTCATTGTTCAAGAATAAAATATCATACACATTAATCAGCAGATAATACAATGAAAGAATACATTTATAAAGTAAACTGAACAATAATAATGTCTTATAGTCATAGCATAACTGTGATGGCAAAATATTTTTGGAAATTGCTATGGGGTACAACTTGCCACACAAATTTCTTGAATATAGTTCAGGAAGTTGCACCAAGTGTTTACTGAGGAGAAAATTTTTATAAAATTGACCTTCATTACTTTTAAGAAGCAAGGCTTTGGCAGAGTCAATCAAAGATTCTCAGACCTCCAGTTAGAATAACCAGCTAGGATTCTATTGATTAATAGAATCCTACTGACTTTTTAGGTAAAAATCTGCCTGCTGAGAGCCACAGAACCTGATTATGACCCAGCCATTTATAAAAGAAAAACTCATACTTCAACATTAAGACCATTACTTGTGGAGCGGAGGATGCAGCTCAGCACAGAGTGCCTGCTTGGCATGCATGAGTCCTTAGGTTCAATCCACAGCACCACAAAGACCATTACTTGCTATAATGCTTTTTTGATATTGTTGTCCCCTCTCGCCTCTCCCAGTGCTGGGGATTGAGCCTTGTACATGCTAGGCAAGTGCTCTACCACTGAACTACAACCCTAGGCTTTATTTTTTTGAGATAGGGTCTCACTGTGTAGCTCAGGCTGGCATGTAGCCCAGGCTGGCCTGGAATTTACAATCCTTCCGTCACCTCCTGAGTCCTAGGATTGCAGACATGCAGCACTACACCCAGCTACTTGCTGTAATCTTCTAAAAGGCAAGGTTGGTTTGGTTTCTGTTGAAGGATACCCTGGAAAATACTAAACTTCAAAGAAAATAAAGTCTATGGGTCCAATTTATTAGCCACTCAAACACTTGACTTGGGCAGCAATGAATAAATAGGTCACAGAAAGTTTTTCAAAATCAAAAGTAGCAAAGACGAGAAGCCCCCATGTAATGTTTTGGGATCAAGATGATGCAGTTCAAAATGTGTTCTGTGGGTATTTTTAGCCAAAAATGATTTTGCTTTATAGAGAAAGGTACAAACTGTTATTCGGTGCAGAAATGTATGAAAGCAAAAACTTGATTTTAGTGGTAGCAATTCTGTGGTTAGCTCTCAGAAGATGTTGTTCAGCATAGCTTTACTGGTGACTGAACCAGAAAAGAAAAAAAAGTATTAGGTGATTTATGAAGAATGGTTTTACCCTATCTAGCCTCACAAGAGCTGACACCTTACCCAAGCCTTTCCTTGCTCTCTTCTGGAGTCAACTGATCAAAGCTCTTTGCTTCTTCAGCACCCAAGAAGGCATCATGGTCATAATCAAAACTCTGAGCATCATTGTGATCTTTGTCGCTGAGCTGAGGCTCATGATGTACACGGTCCTTCTTTTCTGTGGGCTTGCTCAAGGCAAAGGCTGTACACAGGGACAGGCACATGAGAAACTGCCGCAGATCCATGATAATCTGATCTCAAAGAAAATGAAAGGCAGTTAGTTAATACATGAGGAAATGTGCTTAATAACTAAGCAAGAAATCAAAAGGTCACATCTCAGTTAAATTATTAACCTGACATACAAATCTATACACATCATTTATACTACCCAGATATTATTGCTTAATCCATAAATAAGCATGGTAGGATATCAGACTTTTCAATTATTATGGTAAGAAATTTTCACCACTTTCCTTCATCCGACTGTAGACTAATTAGAAATTTATAATTAAAATGGCTACTTTGTAAGTGGTCTCTCTTCAAAAGACACCAAAGAACTTTAATCCTTTGGCCAAATGGAAGGAGAAAGATTTAAATCCTGACTCTAAATCCCTTACTTTTTGGGGGTCAGTACTGGGATTTAAACTCAGGGTCTTGTAATTGCTAGGCAAGCACTCTACCATTTGAGACACGCCTTCAGCCCTTTTTGCTTTTAGGTTATTTTTCAGATAGGTCTTGTACTTTTTTTTCCCAAGCCAATCTCAAACCTCAATCCTCCTACCTATGCCTCCTGTGTAACTATGATTATAGGTTAGAGCCACCACTCCCAGCAATCCTTTACTTTTTGTACTACTTCAATAGTCCGATCTTCAAATCTGGTTATTAGAATTACTTAGGAAGAGTTTGCATGAAGTTAAATGTTCCCTATTGATTTAGATTCTCTAAAATTGAATTCAGACATAAATAGCTTTAAGTGCTTCCAAGTGATTCTGATGACCATCAGATTAGGAACCAATGAAATACTCAGCACCTTCCTTTGTCTTTAACATCAGGTTTCCCAAAACATAGGCTAAACTTGAATTGATTTTCAAGCCTTACTGTAGACTGTCAGACGCTGCAGGACACAGGTGAATCAAATGAACAAACAGAGGACTGAATACTTTATGGAAAATGTGAACAAAAAGTGCAGAGAAGCTATGGGTTAGAAACCTGTCTGGTACATTGTGTAGACAACTCATACTACCATCCAGAAAGATTAAGTTCTCAAGGAGGGGTAGGGGAGACCTTAAAGCCAAGAATGGTGGTCAAGTGTGCAATCATAGCTATTTTGGAGGTTAACAGTAGGAGGATCACAGTTCAAGGTCAGTCCAGGCAAAAAACATTTATAAAATCCCATTTCAATGGAAAAAGCTGGGCACAACTGTGTGCATCTATCATCCCAGTTACAGTGGGAAATATAAAATAGGAAGATTGTGGTTCGGGCTGGCCTGGACAAAAAGTGAGACCTTGTCTCAAAGATAACCAAAGGTGGTTTAAAAAAAAAAAGGGGGCTCGGAGGCATGGCTTAAGCGGTAGATCGCCTGCCTAGCAAGCATGAAACCCTGAGTTCAGCACCCTCATACTACAAAGACAAACACCAACAACAAAAAACCTTAAAATTAAAAATCTAAGGAGAGGATTTTCTTAGGCCTTCCAATTTTAATTAATTTTTCACTAGTGGAATGTGGACTCTGAATACCCACCCGCTCACATTTGTGAGAATAGGTTTTTGCAATTTTACATGATCTCTTACTCATCTCCCAGGGATTACTAATCCCTGGTACCTATGAATATAACTATTTGGAAATAGGGTCTTTGAAAGTGTAATCAAGTTAAAAATCAGGTCATTGAGGGTAGACACTAATCCAAAGACTGGTGTCCTTATAAAACAAGGGAAATTTGTACAGAGACATCCAGAATGAGAATGCCATGTTATGAAAGAGGTAGAGACTAAAGTAATGTATATACATGTCAGGGAATGCCAAAGACTGCTGACAACCACCACAAGCTAGGAATAGGTAAGGTAAGATCTTCCTCTACAGCCTATAGAGAGCACAGTTCTATGATTTTGAACGTTTAGCCTCCAGAACAGTGAAAGAACAAATTTCTATTTTGTACCAACTGTTACCTCAGCTCTAGGAAACAGACACAAAACTAAAGTATAGAGGGATACTGCATCATATGAAAATTAAATGCATTACCCTCTTCTAATCGGCAGATTAGTTTTAGTCACAGATTTCCCTTTTCTCAAGATATCACTAGTGAAACTAGCTAGTCTAAGCATTCACATTTTATATGTAAAAACAATTGTTACTACAGCTTCTAACTCAGAGGTTCTTAATCCAGACTGTACCCTAGAAGCACCTGTATCTGGTCCTGCCTCAAAGTTTTGGGAACTAAAATGAAGGGAGTGAATTGTGCCAGGGGATAAGGGAAATAAATATGCCAATATATTGCACACTTTTCAATGTGTCCATTTGTCTTATAGCCCCAAAATAGTAGCTAAATGAAGTTAAATTGCATTAGCTCATTTATAGAGCCCTTTGGATTAAAAAAACTAAAACTAAAACTAAAAAATGCTTAGCATAACTAATGATGAGTATGTTATACTGTCCTTAAAAGCAAAACCAGAGGTACGGTTCATAAGGCAGAATGCCTGCTTTGCAAGCACAAAACCCTGAATTCAAACCCTTGTTCCACAAAAAAAAAAAAAAAAAAAAAAAGCACAAAAGTAAAAGGAAAGCAAATAGAGATATGTTTAATCCCAAAGTACTGTACAGAGAGCTGATTATATAAAAGCACATACAACCTGAGGCCTCTATAAACTTTCATGTTGTGAAAGGGCACACAAGGGTGCTGCATGCAATCACTGGAAAAGCAACTTTATGGGGGAGCGTAGGAGGTCTTAAACTGGCAGAGTACACAGCAGAGCAGAAAGTGCTGCAGAGTAAATAAGACAAACTAGGAGGGGTGTATGTGTGTGTGTATCACCCCCCCACCTCTCTTGGAGTCATTCATCAAGTGCCCATTCTTATAAAAATGTACTGTTACCAATGATGTGATGAAGACTGATGAAAACCCATGGCAGAAGGCAACATGAAAAGTAGGACTATGAGGTCCATAGAGAAAGGGGTAGAGGAACACTTTTCTTAACACTGCTCCCACAGATGTTAGACTTGACTTTAAGCTTCTGAAAGTTCTTCAACACTCTTTCATTTGGTTCCATCAAAATACCCATATATGTATACAAAAGATACTTGTATAAAAGATGTTCCATAACAGTAGCATATAATGATTAAAAACTGGAAACTAAGTCAGAGAACTGGTAAAACATTAAATCAGTATTATGGAAAAGCACAGAGGTTAAAAAGAATAAGGTGGATTTATCTGCAATGGAAGGGAATACTCACCGAACATGTTAAATGAACAAAAAAACAAGTTGCAAAACAACGTTAGGGGCTCATTTATGTAAAAAGCAAAACTAAAGTCTTCCCAGGCTGTTTATATCTACATAAAATATACCATATGCACAAAAATGGGGTGGCAGGATAAACACCCATGTATAAACAGTAGTAACCTCAAAGCGCAAGGGAGAAAAGAGACAGGTTAGGTGGATTGGTGAGGCTGGAGCTGAAGTGAACGTTTTTTTTTTTTTTTTTTTGCGGTATTGAGGTTTGAACTCAGGGCCTACATCTTGAGCCACTCCACCAGCCCTATTTTTGTGAAGGTTTTTTAAGATAAGGTTCCCGGGAACTATTTTGCCCAGGCTGGCTTCAAACCATGATCTTCCTGATCTCTGCCTCCTCAGTAGCTAGGATTACAGGCATGAGCCACCAGTGCCCAGCAGGAAGTAAACTTTAATACTATACTCTGCTGTGTCTAATTTTTGTAAATGAGCAAGTTTTCTTGTGCATTACCTTTATGTCATTTTAATTTATACAATACTATGAAAACCCTTCAATATTAGGTGGCAAAGGAAACACTTTCAAATACACCTATCTATTCTTGAGACATAAAATGTTATTTTTAAAAACATAACTTCTCTAGGCAAATAACCTTCCATCTGATCCTTCAATAATTCAACTCACCAGACAAATTAGTTGGACAGTAATCTTCTACCTCAAATTATAAACAAAGAATTCTTCAGATATTAAAATTCTACAAATAAAGAACAGGATATGTGGTTAGTGTTTGGTGATATATACCAATGGTACCTATAATGTTAGGGGCTTACAGATCAAATAAAATCAGAAGTTACTGCAAAGGATATTCCTTGACTTCACATTTAGGAAATACTTATGATTAATAATATCCTCAGAATAGTACCCTAACAACTCTTACAAACCCAAATATTAAATATGGATAAATGCTTGAACATTCTCAAGGTCTGGAAGTATAGATACTACACAAAGTTTTGAGACATGTTGCATCTAGAAATTTAACAGATTCACTCTATGATTTAGAGGGGAAACTACATTTATATTTGAGGCTTAACATCTTAATACAAGAATACAAAAGAATTCCAAAGACAGCCAAGTGATCTGGCTTTATCAGGTATCCATTTCTCTTTCCCTCTCCTCAATTAAACTTGGAATCCCCACCTCTTTCTAGGCCCCTCCCTTCCACAAATCAACAGGTCTCAGGTCTCTCTATGATCCCATATCAATCTTTTCCAGACTCTGCTATTTCTTCAAGCTTGTTCTCCTGCTCCTTCACCCACACAGGTGTCTACACTGATACCTGCCTCTGCTTGGCTTTCTATCTTACCACTGACAAAACTATCTAAAAGGGTCACCAACAATCCAGCTGAGGGTCAAAACCAATGGCCCTACCTACTCTTCATCTCTCTGTAGTAGTCAATAAAAAATATGCACTTAAAAAAATGCACTTTAAATAACTTCAACTTTTTAGAAAATGCTCTGTGTCCACATATACCAACTCCTTGCTATTATTATTTTAACAAAAGGCCACCTGTTTTATGAATATAGGCACACACATACAAAACTGAAAATATCCCTTCCTAATCCTAATGGTACTATATTTAAATTCATATACATATAAAAAATGTCAAATAGCAACAAAGGATATCCCTGTAAGACAGAGATATTTTATGTGGGAAGATATAAAAAGAAACAGTGCAAAGTAAGTTTTCTTATAGGGTATTTCAAAATTACATCAGTGGAATTCATTTCTGAAGCATGTTTCTCTTTTCAGTCACAGTGAAACCAAATGACGAAAGCCAAATGATCCTTCTCATTTTGCTCATCCCTTTCAACAATGGGTACCATTAGGAAAAAAATGATATGCTTTGCTCTATGAGTTTTTACCATGTCATCTCTAGAGGGTAAACCAAGGGCTGTGAAAATTGCACTACCACATCCCCCATTTCTCAAATGACTTGTTAAAGTTTTTAATCTCTAAAATTCTATCCCTCTTCTACCAAGGGTAACATCTAGTATTTTCTCTCAAAAAAAAAAAAAGAAAAGAAAAGTCCAGACCTCACTGCCTAGCATGACCAGTCACATGCGACTACTAATCACTTGAAATGTGGCTAATGAGAATCAGGATATGGTATAAGTGTTATATTTTACATCAAACAAACTGTATCTTGTATGTACTAAATCAAATATATTATCCCAATTAATTTTGCCTGTTTTAGATTTTTGCCTGAAAATTTAAAATTACATAAGTGTCTTGTATTGTATTTTTATTGGACTGCCATGTTAGACAGACACAAACTAAAGGACTACAGCAGAAAAGATACCAAGTAGCTATCATCCTTTTTCAGTATGTCCAGTAACGGTCTTGTGCTAAGTTATTTTCATGAACTGCTTATATAAGGAGAAAATATTAACAGCAAAGTTTGATTTCAGTAACGATGACTCTTTTTTTTGTGGTACTGAGGCTTGAACTCAGGGCCTTCACCCTGAGCCACTCCACCAGCCATACTTTTGTAGAGAGTTTTTCGAGATAAGGTCTCTCAGAACTATTTGCCAGGGCTGGCTTAGACCGAAATCCTCCTGATCTCTGCCTCCTGAGTAGCTAGGATTACAGACGTGAGCCACTGGCACCCAGCATGATTCTTAATAATCAGTTTAGGATGCATGATGGACTTGACTATAGTCCCAGCTACTTGGGAGGCAGGGATAGAAGATTGCAGTTTGAGGCCAGCCTGGGCAAAAAAAAGTTGGCAGGAATGGTAGTACATGGCTGTAACCCCAGCAAATCAGGAAAGAGAGGCAGGGAGATCAAAGTCCAAGGGTGGAATGGGGAAAAGCATGAGATCCTATCTAAAAAATAACTAAAGCAAAAAGGGCTGGGGGAATGGCTGAAGTGGTAAGCACGCTTGTCTAGCAAGCATGAAACTGAGTTCAAACACCAGTACTGCCCAAAAAAAAAAAAAAAAAAGGAGTTAGCTTATCCATTCAAAAATTTCCATGAAAGCTAGGCATGGCGGCTCACACCTATAATCCCAGTTACTTAGGAGGCTGAAATCAGAAGGATGATGGTTTGAGGTCAGTACAAGCAAAAAGTTACTAAGACCCCCCCCACCACACACACACCATCTCAACAAATAAGCTGGGAATGGTGGCAGACACCTGTGATCCTAGCTATGTGAGAGGTGTAGGTAAAAGGATCAAGGTCCAAGGCCCACTCCCAGAAAAACTCAAGATCTTACCTGAAAAATAACTAGTAAAAAGGGCTGTGAGTGTGGCTTAAGTGGTAGAGACTCCCATTTGCTTAGGCACCAAGTTCAAATCCCAGTACCTCCAGAAAAGAAAAAAAAATCCATGAAAGCTCTAAATTCTCACCACTCCCCCAATCCCTTCCTTCCTTGTCACTTTGCTAAAAATTCACTGATCACAGAACACTTAAAGTACAATGCTTCAGGAAAAGTTAGATGTCTGGATTAAATTCAGCTTCTCATGAATGTTAACACTGAATGATCCCACAATTATTCTGGCTGACCAAAGACCCCCTGCTTAATTTAACAAAATGGGAGAAGCAGGTGTGGTAGTAAAATTCCAGTTCTCTGAGCTGGATATTCTGCAGAAAAGGCATTTCTCCATAATGAAGCAAAGGAAGGATCTCAATGCTTAAGTGTCTATTTCAACAGGGGACTAGGAGCAACAGCCTGATAGCAATGTAACTAAATTACTAGGACCCAAGTTATGAAATTAGAAACTGAAATTATTTCACTATCTGCCCGACATTCTCACTTACAGACTTTAGTACAATACCACCAATAGAATAATATCATCCTTCATGGTTTGATAAGACATGATACTGACCAACCATTTATTTAACATTTCTCTAGTGACAGAATAAATTTACACTACTTCATTATTATATTATATGACAGATGTAATACATTTACAAGGCAGTTGAGAATATGAAAATGTAAAAGCTCTGAGAATAAACTCAGGCTTTGTTAGTTCTATAATCAAAGCAACCCAGCACAAACTTTAAAGTTTTCTGGCTACAGAATAAAAAACTTTCCTGTAAGAAAAAAGTTCTAGAAATTCTGGAAGTTTCCTTTTGACTACTGAATCTCTAATACATAATTATGTATGTCTAGAAGTCACAGGAATTCTATACAAAATGTAGAGACAAGACCTTTGCCATGTATGTGTAACATGCATGAAGTTTTTGAGAACTTGATAGTCATTTTAGCTCAGTCTTCATTCAATGCCAAGTGCCTACAAGTAATTTTAAGATCCTATGCTGGCTCCAGTTGGAAATGAAGAGTTAACAACTCCTCTAAACTTTTACAGAACTTGTTTGAACCACTCCATAATAATGATCACAGCTACTTTGTCTCCTTAGCTCCCCTGAAGATTCTACATTTGGAAGAATATATTTCAACTAACATAAATTATTATCCCTCTATAGCTTCTAATACACTGTCTTGCACTTCTTAAATACCAATAATTTTACTGTATTAGCTGGGTGGTACTTGGCAGCAATGTGGTTCCTGCCTGTCTATGTGCTCCAATCCACAATTCTCCGTACAAGATCTGGCTAAAAGCCAGCTACAAGCAAAAGTGTTACTTCACCTGTCTTAACTAATACATAAATCACAGATCAGCAACATCCATATTTTAAGGATTCATAGAGAGAGGATCTAGGACCTATGGCCTAACAAGATTTCCAATGGCTATGTCCAGCTATACCTCCAACATCATGGCACATCCATGTTATAGAAAATCTGTGCTAATATCAAGGTACTGATCTTCTATACTGGTGCAATGTATATGAAGTACTACCAGTAGTATCTTTTGATACATCACGGGAGGAATGGAAGTAAATAATGATTGAGATGGAGGATAGGATGTTGGTCTCAAAGCTATATTGAGCAGAATCCACTTGGGCATACTTAATATATTTTTGCCAGGCACTGGTGGCTCATGCCTGAAATCCTAGCTGCTCAGGAGGCAGAGATCAGGAGGACTGTGGTTTGAAACCAGCCTGGGCAAATAGATTGAGAGACTCTAATTTTTGAAAACCTTTTGAGAATTATATATAATATATAATATATAATTGATACAAACACACACACACATATATATAAGCTCAAGGTTCTCCTAGTTGTGATTCTCAAAAAAATCCTGTTAGAGACCCCTGAGTCACTGTAAAATTCATATTAGGACAAGGCAGATTCATCCTCTTTGGACAAATACAATTTATAGTTTATTGCTGGTACCTCATATGAACTGATTCACAAATTCTTCAGCGATGACTATCATTTGGTTCGTGGTTAACTAAATCTACTGAATGAAGTCAAACATATTGGTCTTGGGTCAAGTTCCATTCTATAGAGATTCCAAGGTCCTCTACAAGCTCAAGAAAAAAACTAGTACAGAAACAAACTAGGAGCAAACTCATTCCCAATTCATTAAAACTGACTTTATGGCACATGCTAGGAGGTGCGTGCAATTCCATTCTCAAAAGGTTTTCATAGAGCCAAGGAGTTTTTGCCTTAAGGTAAGAGAAACTTCCCAAATTGCAACTCACTCAACTATACGCTTAATCGTGGCAGCTGTAGGAAATTAAGATTACTTCTGAACACAGTATGCCAAAAGTCAGGACTAGGATCCGGGGTTAAAAGTAACAAATCAGAATAAAGGAAGCAATTCCCTCATAAACCTTTAAAAACCTGCTTTCCTTCGCTGACTTTAAGAATGCGGCCAAACATGGAAGCTCAAAAATGTCGGGTTTTCTTTCAAATGAGAAGACTTTAAAGCAGGTGACACGGTGTCTTCGTTCTCTTCCCCGCCTCGTTCCTACACCCGTGAAGCCAGCGAGCACGACTCGGTTGGCAGAGGCACACCACTCCGGGGATGCGGCCCCGGGCGGAGCCGGCCGATCCGGGCAGGCCAGCGAGCGGGAGGGGCGGGAGCCGTTACAGCCACGCTACCCCGCTGCCCTCCGACCTCAGGAGCGAAAGGTGACCACTAGTCCGAGCGACTCTAAGTAGGGGGCCCAAGGGCGGACGACAAGGGCACGGCAAGCCATGCACAGAAGTGCTCTCCCAACAAGACGCGAGGGCGGGAGCCAGAATTCCACGGAACGCAGACCCCTCCCCAGAGCGTGCGGGAAGGTCAGCGGGGCCTTCCAGGCTGCGCGCCGAAGGCCCTGGGACCCCCAACAGCCGAAGGCCCGGGACCCCGACGCAGCAGAGACACCAACCCCGAATGCAGAAGGCCCAAGCCGCTCCGGAAGCAAGGCCAAGTGATAGGAAGAAAGCAAATTAAGGACACGGCTGCGGCGGAGAGGCTGAGCACCGCGGCACTTACCTTTCCCCGCAACTCCACAACGCAGGATGCCGTTGCGGCGGCTCACCCACCGGCTCGCCTCACACGCGCAAGCACCGCCCAACCGGAAGTGACTCCGCGCCCCGCCCCCATCCTCCTCGTCGGCGGTCTCCTGACCAATCATCAAGGAGCCCGTCGCTGACGCCTGGCTTCTCCGGGCAGCTATTGGTCCCTCAATCGCGGAGTCGGGATTGGCTGGAAAGCGCCACGTCCCCGCGAGCGCTCGGAGTTGCGTGGACCGGATTCCCGCCCAATTCTAGTCCCGGAGTTTGTGGAGGTGGCCGGTCCCAGCCCCCTGCTCTTGCTGCATGTGGGTGCGGCTCTCTGGCCGCCACGTCTTCATTCCGGGTGCGTGACTGCTTCCACTGGGCTTCTTGGATTACCCGGATAATCTTCCTGCCAAGAGCCCCCAAGGCAGAAATAATCCGACTGCTGTAGGGAACAATCCCACTCTCTGACCTTTCGTCCCTGCGGCCCTGAGGCGGGGTCTACAGGACGCTCTGCCCTCTGGCTACAAAGCATCTTTCGGCTTCGTTTCTCGCCAGAACGTCTACGTGTCTTGCACTCGGGCCACCATCACGTCCTTTTTCGTCTGTATGGCCTTTGTTCACCAAGCGGCTTCCCCTGATGTTCCAGTGAAGCCGTTAGAAGTCTCAGTGTAGGTGTGAGTTCCAGAATCCTTGCCTGACTCCGACCAGCGTAATGCTAGTTCCCTTACTTGCCGTCATAGCACTCTGTGTCTTCAGGTCACTGCCAAAGTTTGCTACACGACTGCTTACCCCTCTGTCCTCGAAGAGTCAGAATACGCATCTGTCTGTCCTTCGTATCTGCAGCGCTCAGCTTGCTGCCCAGGTCAAAAGAGATGCTCAGTAACGTTGAGTGGACGGCATGGATAGAATCCGTTGCCTGCCCCTGATTTAAAAGGAATGCCGGAAAATGATCCACCCTATTCATTTTAGTGTCACGAGATTAAAACAAGTACTCAGTGAGGGCTACTGTATCTTCAACACAAACGTGCTATCAACTTGAGTTCTTAGGACATAAAGCCTCTATAGTTTAAATCCAGTTGAGACAAGTTGGAAGCTAATGAAAGAGTTAAATACAAAGCAAATTATTTTTAAGTGCCAAGATGCAAGACTGACAGCTGCTGCTTAGGACATTCAAATAAAGGAGAATTCGAGAGAGCCTCATAAGAAGGTGTGATCCAGGCTTGACTAAGGCATTTCCAGATGGACTATTCAGGAAAAGAAGTAGCAAGAACAAGAGCAAGTGGGTGGTAGAGAGGTAATAAATTCTCAAGATGAATGAGATCGAAAAAAGGCACTCATTCAGGGAACACATAGCTTGCGAGTTTGGATAGGAAACGGAAGGTCTTGACTATCTGAGGAGCCTAAGCTAAAAGCAGTGAGAATTGTGGGTCTCCACTGAAAGGTTTCTAAACTTGTGCCTGGTGGTTCTTTCAGGAAGGCACACTACTTCGTCTCATAGGTGTTAACTACAAAAAGTCCTCCTTGGAGTCAGGCATTTTGATAGGCACTGGTGAACCTATGAAGAATAGGACATCATTCCTGCCCAGGAGGACCTGCATCCTGAAAGTGCCTTAGTGAAAGCTGGACAGATAGTGAGTTTGCCAAAGACAGGGCCCCTCCAAACCTGAGATTCTTTATGGGTAAGGGCCTGGCCTGTCAAGGAAAGGCAAATGGAAATAAGCCTTTATATGCAAGAGAGATTGTTAAATTAGAAAAACTATTTGTATCAGTTAAAAACAAATGTGTGTTGGGTGTGTGTGTGTGTGTATTTTTTAAAGGGGAGGAAAATAAGTCCTGGACTTGGTGACCACTTAGATGCACTGAGATGAAACAAATGGAGAGGCACACAAAAATTAGAAAGTTTTATCTGGGTATGGTGGTAAATACCTATAAATCCAGCTCTCAGAAGGCTGAGGCAGGAGGATCTCATGTTTATTTTTGAGAACTTGTCTCAAAAAGAATTTAAAATTTTTAATCATGGGAGGTTGGAAGAATAAGCCAGATTCATGGGAGATAAGGGAAATGCATGGAGTTGAAGACATGGTGTGTTGAGGTGATGGTGGAACATCTGAAAAGAGCCTATAGGCAGGAGAAACTGGAGAGGTCTTTGGCTAGGAGGCAGCTGAGGGAGGTTTAAGAACAGATGAGTGTTCTACAGCCAGCAAGCAGATTCAGCCTCATGGGAGCCCCGAAGTTAGAAAGTAGGAAGTAGATGAAAAGGACTTAGGGGTAGCACACTTAGGAAATGTCACCACCAGCTGCATCCAAGGCCATCTAGCTCTGGATTTTGTCTTTGAGAGCAACACCGAAGGACTGCTTGTGGAAGGCTAAACCATAAAAGACTGATGTTCTCCTCTAAGCTTTTTTTTTAGGGGGGGCAGTACTAAGATTTGAACTCAGGGCTTCATGCTTGCTTGGCAGGTGCTCTACCACTTGAGCTACACCTCCAAGACCTTGCTCCCAGCATCTTAGCTCTGCCCACAGTGTGTTACTGAACACTTGCTCCACAAATGAATGTATTGTTTCCTGTGTGCAGCAATAAACAAAAGGGCTTAAACTCTGCCATGGTGTTTATATTCTGGTTGGTAGGAGCAGGTGAAAAGACACTGGAGCTGGTGATAAGTGCGAGGGTATCAGGAATGGTGGTCCTCTTAGAAAGGGTGGCCAGGGAAGGCTCCTGAGGAGGTGACATGTGCGTGAATGTCTGAAGGTGGTAAAGAAGTTCTGAGAAAAGGGAACAGCAAGGGCAAAGGCCTGGAGCTGGGAGTATGTTTGGGGCGTATCCCAGAGCCAGTGTGGTTGCGGTGTGGGGAGGAGAGGAGAGGAGAGGACATGTAGTCAGAGAGGCAGGAGGGATGGGAGGGCAGCATCACGTAGGGGCTTTAGGCTGTGGCAAGGACTTTAGCGTTTATTGTGAGATAGAGTAGAAGAGACTGGTTATTTACCAAACTGTTTTCTCTTCATCCTGTGAATAAAAAAGACCACATTTTCCACCCTCCCTTGTAGTGTGGCCATATGACAGAGCAATGACCAAGAAAGGAGGGCAGAAATTATGTATACTACTTCAGTACTGACCATACAAACCTGCCATGTACAATTCTCCAGGTTCTTCCTCTTTCTGTGACAATCCTGTAAGCCATGTATGGCAAAGCCACAGGATACAAGGGGCCCAAGTTCCTTTTAGAAGAACCACTCACCAGGCACCCACTTTGGACTTCTGATAAGAAGTAAAACTTCTGTTAGTTGTTTTATGCTGCAGATGTACTGGAGTTTGTTTTTTAGTATTACCCTAAGACAGTGGGAAGACGTAGGAAGGTTTTGAGCAGAGAAGAGACATGTAAAATTTTGAAAGAGTAACATTAGACTGGAAAGGGTAAAGTTAGAAATAGGGCTTTAAAAAGGCTTTTCCAACAGTCCGGGTGAGTAGTGGTGATGATTTGGCCCAGGTAGTAACAGTGTAAGAAGTGTCAGATTTTGAATACAGTTCAAAAGGATTTCCTGATGGGCTGGAAATGGAGTGAAGAGAAAGATAAGAGTCAAGAACTACTTCAAAGTTCTGAGCAACTAGAGAAACAGAGCTGCCATTTACTAGAATGGGGAAAATTTGAGGGGAGAGCCAATTTTGTGAGATAATATTGAGAGGTTAGTTTGGACATGTTGACATGTCTATGAGACATTGAAATGAGATGCCAAGTGGGTAGCTGGGTATGTATTTCTGGGTTTTTTTCTTTTTATTTTGGTGGTACTGGGGTTTGAATTCAGGGCCTCTTGCTTTCTAGGTAGGCATTCTAGCACTTGAGTCATTCTGCCAGCCTGAAGTTCATGGTGATCTGGACTAGACATATAATGTTGGGAATAATTGATATGTTTTATATATATATACACACATATATGTATACATATAATCATCTGAAAACCATGAGTTTTGATTAGAAGAGATCCAAGGACTGAATTCTGAAAAGTTCTCATGTTCTGTAATGGCTGAGGGTGCTGATAAGAATAAATCAGCAAAGGGACTGAGAGGAAAAGCCAGTGAAGGAGGAAGAAATCCAGGAAAATTCAGGAAAGTGTCCTAGAAGCCAAGTGAAGAAAGTGTTTCTAGGAGAAAGGTGTACTCATACAAGGGCCATGCTGCTGACAGCAAGGTGAGGACTGGTTGGCTGTGGGCTTTAGCAGGGTGGGGACTTTGACAGCTCAGTGCAGTGATATATGCAAACCTAATGAGTGGGCTCAAGTGAGAATAGGAGACAAGAGACTGGAAACCCTTTCAAGGAGTTTACTATAAAGAATTGGAGAAAAATGCAGCAGAAGGGCCATATGGATCAAGGGGAAAGATTTTGTGTTATTTATTTTTGGGAGTACTGGGGCTTGAACTCAGGGCCCTGCACTTGCTAGGCAGGTGCTCTAACATTTGGGCCACAACCAAATCCTGTTTACTTTGTTTTTCAGATAGGTGCTTCCTTGCCCCACCCCTACGGTTGGCCTTGGACTTTGAGCCTCCTACCTGTGCCTCAGGCATAGCTGAGATTACAGGTGCATGTCATATGCCCTGCTAATTGGGTGACATGGGATCTTGCCAACATTTTTGCCCAGGGTGGCCTCAAACTTCAGTCCTGCTGATCTCTACCTTCCAAATCTCTGAGATTACAGGCATATGCCACCACATTCACCTTGTTCTGTTTTTTAAACAGCATGTTTAGAAGAAATGCCAGTGCATTTGGTGTTGGTAGGAAGGATCTAGTATAAGGATCAAATTAAGATGAAGAGTTGCTGGGACAGTACTTTTGGGTAGATAAGATGGGATCTAATTTGCAGGCTTTACAGACAGTGGAGATAGTTCTCCCATGGTAACAAGGAGAGAAGCCAGAATCTATGGTCCTGCTTCTAAGTAAATGATGGACATGATGGTGAGAACTTGGAGTTCTCTTTGACTGCTACTGTTTCTCAGTGAAATGGGAGCTGAGTCATCAGAAGACACTGGTGGTTTGAGGAGAGGGGAGGTGTGAAATAGCCATTTAGCAGAGTGGAAAAACTAGGGCGATGTAGGGTGATTTCCAGGCACTATTGACTCTTGAAGCTTGGAATTAATTGGGGGTGAGCCTGGTTAGTATGTCATGCCATTTTCTCCAGGCAAACTCAGTGGCACGGTGCAGACGTGGAGTTGGTGTAGAGATGATTTAGCCAACTGAACAGAAGAAAGGGATAGAAACACAAAGATGTTGAGGATGCATGTAAGAAGTGAGGATAATAAGACTGGTCACTACATCTGGGCAAGAGGAGGGGGAAATAAGGACAAGAAGAGAGTGAAGGGAAGTGAAAATGTGGTAGGAGCAACAGATTGGTGGGGTTGAAGGATTATTGGATCCCTGGGGAAAAGAAAGGAGGTAATATAGCTGGAGAGAGGGAATAACGGGGTAGGATGTCATTAATTTAACAAAGTCTAGTTAAAACCAGAGTAGTCAGTAGCTGAGGAGCGTAAAAGACAGGAGTTCAAGGCACGACAAACAGGATGGGAAGGATCATCTATGTGGACATTGAAGACCCCAGGAGTTAGGATAAGTGTCATCTACATGGACATTGAAAATACAAGTTGTTCAGATGTAACTCATCCTTGGAGTGATGGTGATTCACGAGCTTATTTTTTAGCCCTCCACCCCAACCATTTCAGTTTAAAAACCACTTCATTGTAGTCAAAGATCCTTGTCGGCTATCTTAAACCAGAGCAAAACATCCAAAAAATTCTTTCCATGAAAGCTGGTCAGCTGTTCTGAAATACTTATTGTCTAGACTTTATTGAATGTGAAATATTGCTCAATTTAAGCAAAGAAGTCAACCCATGAGCCATCTGACAGACACTTCTTAGTGACCCTCTTGATTGAAAACTTGTGAATCTCTGTGTTGCCTATATTTTGAGCCTATATTTTCTCTCTCTGGAGTCACTTAGTTAATAAGCACTAGCAAGGTATAGCAACATTTAAGGCAGTGCCAATTGTAAAAGAAATTGCACCAGTGTTTGTAGGACTGAGACAATAGTAAATCTAAGACATTTGATCACAACAGAGAAATTCAAGCCAGGCACTGGTGGCTCACGCCTAAAACCCTAGCTACTCAGGAGGTAGAGATCAGGAGGACCGTGGTTTGAAGCCAGCCTGGGCAAATAGTTCTCAAGATCCTGTCTTGAAAAAAGCCCATCACAAAAAAGAGCTGGTGGAGTAGCTCAAGTGGTAGAGCACCTACTTAGCAAGCATGAGGACCTGAGTTCAATACCCAGTATTGCCAAAAAAAAAAAAAGAGAGAGAACTTCACTCTACCTTATCTTACCTTGTCTTAAAATCTTTTGTAGGAACGCTTCATCAGCTTCAAACCTAAATTGGAACACCAGGGCTGGACAACAAGGCCAAGTTAGGGAACAGGCTAAAGAAGAAGGCATAAAGCTTAAATCAGAAGAGAGGGAGTAGCAAGAATAACTGGCAAAAGAGGAAACTGAAGAATTCCCTCATAGTTGTTCCAGAGTAGTCTAAGCAGAGAAGAAATCATACTTCTTTTTTTGGTTTATGGTTTTACTTTCAAGTTTTAAATTAGATAAATAGAAGCTTGGCGAGGCATCTCTGATCTATTTCTTGTATGGTCCTCTTCATCTCTTCTCCCAAGTCTCTTCTGTTTCCTTCTGTTACCATTTCTCTTTGGGTCTCTCCTCTGACTCCCTCCTGTCACCTTCTTCATCATGTCCATTTTGCTCTCGTCCATCTCTCTTCTGGGAAGGCTTGCTTCCCTTGAGTTCCTTTTCTCTGTCTCTTGGCTCCAGCCATTCTGAGATCATGTCTTCCTTTGCCCACTGAGGGGTGGTGGGATAGAGGTGGGCTGTGCTCATGTGAAGTGGTAAGAACATGGAGGTAGGTACAGTTGGAATGAGGAAAGGCTGTGCTGTTACCGTGCAGTCATGATTGTAGGTTTCCCTTAGTTGCAGCTTTCTCCTCCTCACAGTCCAGATAGAGTCTCTCCTGAAGCTGAATGCTACAGAGCCCTGTTGGCAAAGGCTACATAGACTCTCCCCAGTGTGAAAAGTGGATCATATAGAGTTTCCTGTGAGCACAGGAGAGAAGAGTGTTCAGTGGTATATACAGTACCTGAGAAGCTCTTCTGTAGGTTCAAAGATACAGTAGTTTCCCCTTCTCTGTGGGAGTTTTGTTCCCAGATCAGGGAGTGTCTGAAACCGTAGAGAGCACCACGCCTGTATTATAAGTGATATGTTTTTCCCATATATGCATTTCTATGGTAAAGTTTAAATCATAAATCAGGCATAGTAAGAGATTAACAACAATAACTAATAAACAGATTGTTCATTATGTATTATAATGAAAGTTATATGATTATGGCTTTTCTCTCTCAAAATATTAAATTCTCCACTTAAAATTATTGATTGCCGTTTAGTGTGGGTAACTGAAACCTTAGAAAGTGAAACCACTGTAATTAACATTAATTTTTTAAAAATTGCTAAATGTAAATAATGATCTCTTGAGGAGGAGATCATTCATAATATTTTACTTTAGAAAACCTAAATCACCCAACCTTCTTTAGGACTCTATCTCTGTTAGATATGACATGTGGGAGGTACTTCACACATGCTTATTAAATGAATAAAGGATAGATAAGGAGGCTTGGGACATGGAGAGAGAAGGGCTGAGGCCCCAGGGAAGTTTGTCCCCACCCAATCCTGCAGTCTAGCTCCTTTTTCCTTCTCTGCACCCCAACCCACCTTAGTAAGAAGGCTCTCGGGGCTCAAGAGCTTTAGGGAAGGAGAAGGGAGGGGAGGGCCTGCAGGAATTCCCTAAAGGAGGCTCTCAGGCTTCTCTGCACAGCAAGGTAGATAGAGCTCTAATTACAAGAGCATCATTCTAGTGTGTCTGTCCCTTCAGAGACACGTGGGAACTCTGGGGACTCTGGAGGTGCCACACTGCAGGGTTTCACTGAACTCCATTGGAGGCAAAGAAAAACAGGGCAGGAGAAAAGAGGGTTGAGGTCACTGAGGCCATCATCCCCCATCCCCAGCCCACAGCATTCTGGAATCACCCTAAGGACACCAGGACCCAGCCCTAGCCCTGAGGTTAAACTCCAGGCTGTCCCAAGATGTCAACTGGATCAATCCCATCACTGATTGTACCTATGAGTGGGGCCATCTGTGGCCTGGTGGAGGCAGCCAGGGTGCTGAGGAGTGAGAGGGGCTGCGGCCCAGAGGGGTTCTCTCTTTCCCACTCTCCATAAGTGAATGAATCCCTCCAGCTGAGGTCGCGGGTGCAAGGGATGCTGTCTTCAGAGGAAGTTGCTTTCTCTAGTCAAGAAAAGGAATGAATTTACACTCTGGTTCACAGAGCACTTTCAAAGCTTACCACCAGCAGACAGGTGGGGCGGTGCTTATTATGTACCAGGCATGGTTCCAGAAAATGACACACACTCTTGCTCCTTTTATTTCAGTTGTCTCATGACAACTGAGCAAGGGCAATGCTGCCATAGTCCCCCATTTCTGAGGCTCAGAAAGGTTGATTAACTTACCAATGGTGACATTATTCAATATTCAAAAATCAAGCAGCCTGGCTCCAGAGCCCATGTTCTTACTACTTCAGCATGTGAGCAAAACAGTCCCAGCAAAAGGAGAGAACCAACATTGTTGGGACGGGTTAGCAGAGTAAATTTCCCTAGAACAGTCAATGGCTGAACTGACAATGGCTTTGAACCCAGATCAAAGCCAAAGCCTGTTCTTGTCCTCTTGGCTTTGGCTGATCAAAGTGTAGCCAAAACCTTGGCATCACCTGAGAGCACATTAGAAATGTTTCCAGGCTGGGCACAGTGGCTCATGCTTGTAATCCCAGCTATTCTGGGGCAGATATAGGAGGACGGGGATCTGAGGCTGACATCGGCCCAAAGCAGGATACTGTCTGAAAAATAATAAAAGCAAAAAGGGCTGAGGGCATGGCTCAAATGGTAGAGTGCTTGCCTAGAAACCTCAAGGTCCTGAGTTCAAACCACAGCACAGCTCCCACCCTCACCCCCAAAATATTGCACTGTCTCAGCCCCCTCCCCTAGGCCTAATAATTAGAATTTGCATTTAGCAAGACCCACAGGGTCTGTTTGTGCATTAAATTTTGGAAATCACTGCCAATAACAGGCTATGCTGCCTGCTGATGGGGAGTTGAGTTTGACCATGCAGGTAAGCTTTGTACCTCTGGTTTTACGAACTGCACCACTCTCTTCCTTTTTTTTTTAATACTGGGCTACCTGGCCCAATAAGAAAAGAGGGTCCAGCAGACATCCCGGGAAGGTTCATTGAAATCAGCCTCAGAACATCCTGGACATGGCAGTGCCCACAACGCCAGATATGCTGTGACCTTGAAGTTCTGTTTTCTCCAGTCCCCGAAATCAGAAATATTCTCTATTTCCCTGTTCTTCAGCCCTAACCTCATGGGATATGCTTTGAGTGTGTACGTTATGTGAATGTGCTTGGATGCATGAATCACCACTGTGTCATAGGTCACAGACCATAAGGAAGCAGTCATACACTGGAGGAAATGTGACTCTACTCACCTGGCAGGACAGAGGTTTTGAGCCCACAGTCTCCAGGCTAAATTTAGTCTGCAATATATCTTACTTACTAAGTGTTAGCCGGTAGTGGATTAATTTTTTTATGGGATGAAGGAATGTCCCATTAAAAAATTCAGATTCTTGGCTTCTTTCAAAAAATCCTGGTATCTGGTATACCAGGCCTGTGTGTTCTAACACAGCAGCAATTAATCAGACTTAATTGAAACCCTCACTTTCTTGTTGCCACTGTCCCCACCACTCCCTATTGTCTCAGTGCTGAAACCAATGGTTAACTGCCAGCAATTATTTTAATTATCATAAAGCTTAGGAGAAAAACCATTTTATAACTGTACCCATTTATATCACCTGCTGATGTGTGTGAGATGGGTGAAAATTGGCAGGCCCCCCTACAATCTACAACCATCTCTAAATTTCTAAATATAACATGATGTTCTGGCTATCTCATGAGCCAATATGAAGAACTAATTTATTTTGGGTCTTATATGTGGATATTTATTGAATTCTCATTGCGTCCCAGCTTGCTGCTGTGGATAATTCAGGGGCATAACAATTTAGTATAAATTAAAGAGATAATTCTTAAGCCTGTAAAAGAATTAGAGAATAATCTAAGAGAGATTATGATAAGGAATGATAGTCTGGGTAAAGGCGTGAGGCATAGGATTTAGGAGGACAGGCAGGATTTGGAGTTGAGCCTTGGGGGACGGAAGTGGAGAGGGGAGCAATGTGGTGTTGGGAAACATAGTTAAGGGTTGACTGGAGCAGATAAGGGCTGGAGAGAAGGAGTAATCGAGTGAAGTGGGTAACATGGTAAGATGGGCATGGGTCATGCATGACAATGGCAATGGGTTCAAGGTAGACTAAATCCTGGAGGTAGAGAGCCTGAAGCTGCTACTAGAACGTATCGTGCTCCCTTGCACAGTTGGCCTTATCTGCTCAGCATGCTCAATGCATTCATCATCCTCTGTGATTCTGCTCAGATACCAAGCCTCCTGAGCCAGCATCCTGGAAAGAGTGAGGAACCCTGTTTGTCGTGTGCCTTTGAGACATAAGCTTTTGAATGCTTCCTGGAAGGAGAGGTTTTATCATTTTGGTATTTACCTGCATGACTCTACCACATTATAAATTCCTTGAAGGAACCGGGCACCAGTGGGTCATACCTGTAATCCTAACTACTCAGAAGGCCAGAGATCAGGAGGATCATGGTTCAAAGCCAGCCCCTGGCAAATACCTATCTCAAAAATACCCAACACAAAACAGGGCTGGCTGAGTGGCTCAAGTGGTGGAGTGCCTGCTTAGCAAGCATGAAGGCCCTGAGTTCAAACCCAGAATCATCAAAAAATAAATAAAAATAAACTATTTGAAAGGAGCACAGTGTCCTTCTACCAGAGTGATTGGCACTTATGTGCTTTGAATGAATCTATGAATGAATAACTGAACTGATACTGCAGGCTTTAGGTGAGAAGGGCTGGGCTAGGGTCAAGTCTGTGGGATTAGAAATGAAGAAAATAGAAATATTAAAAAAAAAAAGAAGAAGAAGAAATGGATAGGACTTGGTGCCAAAATGACTATAGTGGCTGAAGTTCGCAGAGGGATCCCCGCTCTTTGCGTGGAGAGCTGGCCCTCCTGATGGCATGTGGAAGGTCAAGAGGAGAGCTTCAGGGATCTGACTCTTACCCTGCACAGCAGACAGCTCTCTGAGGCATGGTGTCCTGTGCCTTCCCTTACCTGAGCTGGCCTTGTTGGTCTCCCTATTTTTGCTGCTCCTGGAACTCCAGCCATTTCAGGATCAAGGAAATGAAAATTGAAAGTAAAGGAATATAAGAATGTTAACCTAGTTAGATTTTTTTCCTGATGCAAAGCTTTAGAGACAGATATAAATATGACAAGGACCAGCTGTGGCTCTGTTGGTTAGATGTGATGCATATTAAATTTCCAGAAGGAAAAAGGAATGGGATAGCTGTAGAGCAGAGCCCATGCAGCTGATTTTCCTGAGGAGGAAGGGATGGATATGACTCCAACTGTTGAATCCTGTATCTCAGCCATGTACTTTATTTACTGTTAAGTTGGATGTCATTGCCAATAGGAAAAACTGATAAAAATTGCAGCCAGACTGGAACCAGCCCAACTGAGGAAAAAACCATCACTCTGGGCTTCATTTCCTTTTGGGAATTGAATAGAAAGAATTAAACGTCTGCACAAAGCAGTTACTGGGATAACAGTGACACAAAGATGACACCCCTGTCCCCTTTTCTTGAATCCCTCTGACCAGTTTTGCACATGCCCATCCAGACTAGGTTGCCATAGCTTCCTAGCTGGGCGCTCTCAGTTGCTCCTCCCTCTCTTCAAATCTACCATTGCAGCAACAGCTAGCGTGACCTTTTCAAAATGTAAATCTAATCACATTACTTCCCTGTTTAAAATGCTAAGTCACCCACTACATTGAACATTTAAAAATTCCTCCGTGTGGTTTTCCAGGCCTTGCCCCACTTATTCCCTTCTACAACCAACTGCTTGTTCTTCCCCACTGGCCTTCCTGTCCTTTCCTATGCTTATCAAGCTTCTTCCCCTGAGCGAAGCTTCAGCCTTGCACCCATTCATGCTCTCAACCTGCCTGACTCTTCTCCACCCTTTATCTTGCCATTGCCTGTTTTTCCTTCAGGACTTAGCTTCCTTTGATCTTCCAGAAATATTAAAAGCTGCCTGTGCTGCCAGAGATTGCCAGTAGACTCCCAACAGCCTTTCTTCCCTTCTCTCTCAGAGGCAAAGCACTTGATTTTGTTTGGCTATATGGCTAAAGGAAACTACATTTCCCGCCCTCCTTTGTAGCTGCATGTGGCCGTGGAAATGAGTTGTGGCAATGAGATATAAGCAGAAGGTATCCTTTAAGTGGAAATTTAAAAAACAGTGGTACAGAGCATGCTTGAATTCTGGGCCCTGAATTCAAGCCCAGAACTGCAGGGAGTGGGTGTGGAATCAAGGATTCAATAATTTGAGCCAGTCAAAAAGTTGCTTCAAAATATCTTGCTCTACTAGAATCAAGTGCACTCCAGGTTAACAATGTAACATCTTATCAATAAATTTCTTAATTACAGATCTCTGTAGGATATATAAAGGGACAATTTCCAGTATATATATGTATTTTGTGGTGGTACTGGAGTTTGAACTCAGGGCTTTGCACTTACTTGCTAGGCAGGAGCTGCACCAATTGAGCCACCCTGTTTTGTGTTTAGTATTTTCAAGATAGGGTCTTTTGAATTATTTGCCTGGATTAGCTTTGAACTGCGATCCTCCTGATCTCTGTCTCCCTGAGTAACTAGGATTATAGGCTTGAGCCACCAGTGTCCTCCCCCTTTTTTGTTTTGTTTTTGTTCTTTTGAGACAGAGTCTCACTGTGTAGCCCAGTCTGGTCTCAAATTAGTGATCCTCCTGCTTCAGTCACTCGCCTGATTAAGTCACGTACCTGAACTGGTTCTGCTGGTGCAAGTCGGCAAAGATCTGAGACAGGGCCTCACTCTCTCCCTGGGCCATCAGCAGCATGAGGCTCTCGCTGGGATGGGAGGCTTGGGGTTTCTTCTGCACTGTCTATGTGGAAAACAAACAAGGAAGTGGTTAAGGCTTTGAGGTCTCTGCATTTTTCTAGTATCATGGCCCAGAAACGTTGGGACTCAAACCCTCACATTGGGCAGTCACATTAGTTGCCCATGGAGGCAATTCTGAGACTGTTCCTTTTTGTTTATAGCCCTATACTGGCATAAATATCACTTGGTGCTGTAAAGGTCATATCTTCACTGAATACTTGCTGACATAATTAATTAGATAATCTATTCCCACTAATATATCTTAACATGGCTTATTAAGTAATGTGGTTACATTAAGCTTGTTAATGTAAGCTTTAATAGTTTGTATTACTTATATTTAAAGTAAGGAAATCATATATTTAAGAATTTAATGAATGTTTTAAAGTTAATTTCTCTAAGAAAAATCCTATATGGAGCTGCTTTTTTGGGGGGTGTGGGGAGTGACATTGGAGTTTGAACTCAGAGTTTTGTGCTTGCAGAGCAGGTGCTCTACCACTTTAACTTCCAGTCCGTTTTGCTCTGGTTATTTTGGAGATGCAGTCTTGTGAACTGTTTGCCCAGGCTGGCTTCCAACTCCAATCCTCCTGATCTCAGCCTCCCAAGTAGCTAGAATTTGGAACTGCTTGTTACACCTGAGTAACAGTTAATTTCTTTCCTGTTGCCTGTGATATCTCAAAGATGCTTCAGTTGTATATGCTGTCTATATTCATTCATTCACTGTTTATTGAATGCTAACTGTATGCCAGGCAGTAGGGATATAGTGAAGAAGACAGATAAAAATCTCTGCCTTAATGGAATTTATATTGCAGCTCAAGTCAGGCTTGAGGGCAAAAAAGTCCTAGGTGACTTCGCTGGTGAAATCTGTCAAATATTTAAAGAAGTAATAAAAGTTCTTCACCAAGTCTTTTAGAAAATAGATGAGGGAATATCTCTTGACTCACTCAATGAGGCTAGTATTGACTGGATACCAAAACCAGGTTATCAAAAAGAGATCACAAGAAAACCACAGACTAGTGTCTTTTATGAACATAAATGCAAAAATCCATAACAAAATGCTAGCAAACCAAATCCAGTAACATATAAAAGGGATTATACATGTCACAAACAAGTGGAATTTGTTAAAGAAGCATAAGGTTAGTTTAACATCAAAAAATTAATTGACTAAATCAGCAGAATAAAGGACAGCCACATGATCTCTTCATAGCTGCAGAAAAGCACTTAACAAATTCCAACACCCATCAGTGCAAAAAAAAAAAAAAATTCCTCCACTTGACAAAGCACATTTACAAAAATCCCACAGTTAGCACCACATTTAATGCCAAAGACTGAATGCCTTTCCTCTAAGATCAGGGAGAAGGCAGGATGTCTGCTTTTATATCTTCTATTAACATTGTACTAGAGATTCTAGCTAACACAATAAGGCAGTGAATAAACAAGTACATTCAAATTGGAAATGGAAAAGTAAAATCATCTTTATTTGAAGATTATATGAGTGTATGTATATATGTAGAAAACCCCAAGGAGATCACAAGATTACCATAACCGATAAACTATATTTCTATATACTACCAATGATCAGTGCAAAAGTCAAGTTAAGAAAACAGTTCTGCTCACAATAACATCAACAACAATAAAATACTTATGAATTCAATTTAACAAAAGAAATGCAGAACTGAAAACTATTAAACAGTGCTAAGAAAAATTAAAGAAGGTGGGCTGGGGCATAGCTCAAGTGGTAGAGCACCTGCCACTGAGGCCCTGAGTTCAAACTCCAGTATCAGTAATAAATAAATAAATTTTTAAAATAAGATCAAATTAAAGAAATCAAAATGAATGTTTATATATTGTCTAGCTTTAAACTGATACATTAATTCAATATATCCTTATCAACATGCTAGCAGGCTTTTTGTTTTCCAGGAACTGAAAAACTGATCCAAAAACTTACATGGACATGCAAAAGAACTAGAATAATCAAAACAATTTGAAAAAGAATGAAATTGGAAAACTTATATCACCCAATTCCCAAACTTAAAATAACTGGAGACGCCTGGCTCAAGTGGTAAAGTGCTTACCTGGCATACATGAGATCCTGGGTTCGGCCTCAGTATCGCAAAAACAAAACAAAACAAAATAACAACCCTTACTATAAGACCACATTAATCAGTAATTTGTGGTATTGGTACAAACATAGGCAAATAGATCAATGGAACGGAAATGAGAATCCAGAAATAAATCCTTATATTCATGGTCAATTGATTTCCAGCAAAGATGCCAAGTGAATTTGAAAGGGAAAGGACAGTTGTTTTGTCTAGCAAATGATAATGAAATAATCCCATATCCACATGTCAAAGAAGAAAGAATGAATAAACTTAATCTCTTAACTCATACCATACACAAATAGTAACTCGAGTGGATCACGAACATAAATGCAAGAGATAAATCTATAAAACTTCCAGAAGAAAACAGGATAAAATCTTAGTGATTTGGGGGTGAACAAAACGTTCTCACATGTGACACCAAAAGGCTGGTTCATAAAAGAAAAGGTTGGAGGTATAGCTGAAATTGTAGAGCACCCACTTTGTAAGCACAAAGCCCTAAGTTCAAACCCCAGTACCACCAAAACCAAACAGAAAGAATACATAAAAGAAAAAAATTGACAAATTGTACTTCATCAGAATTAAAAAATTTTGCACCTCAAAAGTCATCATTAAGAAAAGGAATAAAATTCACGGATTGGAAGGAAACATTTGCATATCATATATCTGATAAAGGACTTGCATACAGAATATTCAAAGAACTCTTACAACTCAATAAGAAGATAAAACCCAGTTAAAAAATGGGCAAAAGATTTGAATAGACATTTCACCAAAGACAAAGACAGTGTATGCATAATTTTAAAACCCATGAAAAGTTGCTCAACATCATTAGTCATTAGAGAAATCCAAATTTTAACCACCATGCATTCTGCAAGAATGGGTCTAATAAAAACAATAAATGATATCAGTGATGGTGAGGATATAGAGAAACTGAAACCCTCATGCATTGTTGGTGAGAATCTAAATATGGCCACTTTAGGCTGGGCACCAGTGACTCACCCCTGTAATTAATCCTAGTTCCTTGGAAGGCTGAGATTGGGAGGATCACAGTTCAAGGCCAGCTCTGGCAAATAGTTGGAGAGACTCTATCTCCAAAACAACCAGAGCAAAATGTACTGGAGATGTTGTTCAAGCAGTAGATTGCCTGCTTTGTAAGTGTAAGGCCCTGTGTTCAAATCTCAGTCCCATTAAAAAAAAAAGGCCACTTTGGAAAACAGTTTGCTAGTTTTCTAAAAAGTTAGACATAAACTTTCCATAAAACCCTCCGGCAACGTCATTCCTTAGAATCTACCTAAGATTAATGGAAATGTGTCTACACCCAAATGTTCATAACAGCATTTTTCATTATAGCCCCAGACTGGCAAATCTAAAAGTCCATCATCTGGTGAATGGGTAAACAAAATGTGGTATATTAATACAATGGAATAGTACCAGTGATTAAAAGCAATGTATTACTGATAGTATGTGACTTTGCCCCAGAGTTTGTCCCACACTATATGATGAACTTGAAAAATATTGAACTTAATAAAAGCCAGACACAAAAGACTGTATTGTAAGATTCCACTTATATGAAATGTGCAAGAAAAATGGCTTCATAAAGATGAAGACAGATCAGTGGTTGCCTAGACCTAGGAGTAGGAACAGAGAATGACGAAAAATGGACAAAAGGGAATTTTTTAGATAGAAGTGTTCTAAAGCTGGACTGTCATGATGATTGATGTTTGCACAACTATACACATTTACTGAAAATGTTGAAGTGTACACTTACACAGAGTAACCTTAATGGTTATAAATATCATTTATACCTCAACAAAGCCTTCCCAGAGTGCTCACCAGCAGCTAGTCTAAACCACACGTCCCAGTTCTGGCCTTGACTGGAGATGGCCCTGCTTTACCTTAGAGTCTCCAGATGGGCTGCAGCAGTTCTTGGGTACCAGGCAGTGAGTGACAAGAATGCTAGGGTCTTTGGTGGTGATGGACAGGCCCTTCTGCAGAATTTGAACCAGTCGGATCCAGAAGTGGAAGACAGCCCCAGGATGCTCTGGGTGGAGCTTTAGGTAGTAGATCTTCTCAGTGACTGTCCTCAACCGCAGGATGCGTTGAAGGCGGTCACAGATCTGAAGCTCCACAAACTTCAATGGGAGAATTCTGCAGGCATGAGGGAAGACCCACTGAACACCTTACTTCTGATGTGACCCCATCTAACTTAAAACAAGGTGGGTTTCCTCAAGGATGGAGGCTTTTAGAGGCAGGAAAGACAGTGGTTAGCCAGTGGTGCTCAAACTTGGGGAGATCAGGTATACCTGGAAAGCTTTACTTAAAACGTAGGCACATGAAGATATCCCCAGCTGGTGGAGTGGCTCAAGTGGTAAGAGTGCCTGCCTAACAAGTGTGAGGCCCGAGTTCAAACCCCAGTGCCACCAAAAAACCAAAAAGACATCCCCAAAGATTCAGATTTCAGATTCAGTTGCTGTGGAGTGTGGTCTTGGAATCTGCCACTCTTGCCCTGCCAGGATTCTCCTGCTGACATTCCCTGGGCCCTGTTTGACACAGCCTAGGAGTAAGGTGGCTGGGGTCATGGGATTTTCAGTTTCCTTCTTGACAGCCCATTCATTGACTTTAATGCCTGTATAACTCTGCCCAAAGGAGAGTTCAAGTATTTGGTTTTGGATCTAATGCTAGTCAGCGGGGACTGGGCTGTACTTGATATGGATCTATAAAGAACGCAAGGGTGAGGTCTGTCATGAGGTAGCGTCGAGGGACAAATGGCTTTCCTGGACTTATAGATTCCTAAGATTGCCTGCAGATTATTTAAAGAGGTTTAAACATTAAGAAGTCTTTTTTTAGGGCATGGCTTAAGTGGTAGAGTGTGCTAGGTAGAGTGCCTAGCATGTGTGAGGCCCTGGGTTCAATCCCCAGGACCACACACACACACACACACACATATACACACACAAAACCTTTTATCCCAGACAGAAATGATGTCACTATATGTTATAGTACTAAGTGAGACTTAGTTCCATTCATATTATGGATAGAAAAATAGATGCAGCAGGTGACTTGTGACTCAAACTATTTCAATCTATTTAGTTGCATTTCAAATGCTGGGGAACACCTGCCTTTCCTGACAGCACTTCATCTGCCAGACATCATTGTCTCCTTGCTCCCCCTGCCACCCATCCAAAAGCTGAATGGTTTCCTCTCAATTCATGGGGTGAGTGAAGTGAGAAGACAAATGGACTTCTAAACTGACCCCTCATTCCTGTCTACGTAATGCTTTCCTTAGCCCCACATGGCCTCTGTCTTTCCAAGTGCATCATCTGTCTTGGGGTACTGCTGTCTAAGATAAAGTCACTGCCGGGGACTTCTCTTTCTCCTTTCATTGTGTTGGGTCACCACGCAACCTCCATTTGGGTCCAGTGCCACCCCTGTGCTCCTCACTCTCATTGGCATTGCTTACCTCTTCAGGATGATGTCTGGGGATATAGATGGTCTGTTCCACGTCTGGCTCTGCCCCTGATGCCATCTGACTCTAGCCATGAGGAGGAGGTTGGGAAGGGGCAGACAAGGCACAGAAGAGGTCACCCCAAGGGCCATGGTGTTGGAGGCTTTGTGGATTTCCTTCCAGTTTCTGTCCCTTTTGACCTGCAAAGGAGCCCCCCAGGCACAGCCTGAGTATTTGGCAGAAGCAGCAGTATGTTTTATCCCAGGGTTTCTCAAGTCAGCACAGTTAAGGTGATTCTTTGTTGGAGAGAAGGATGCACTGCAAACTGTAGAATGTTTACAGCATCCTTGGCCTCCACCCCTAGACACTAATAGCAACCCCCCCAACACACCCAGATTGTGACAACCAAAAGTATCTCCAGACATTGTCCCCTAGCACTGAGGGGTAGGGAGGAAATCATTGCTGTTGACAACTGTTTTAACCTATATTGGCTTAAAAAGTCTAATAGGGTTTAAATGACTTTCTATTAAAAATTGTTCATAGGAACTGTAAGCCAGAGCTTCCTTACCATCTATCACATGTCTATGAATCTCCCAGGAGTGTTTCTTGGCTTTTCTTTAAAAAAAAAAAAAAAAGAAAAAAACCAAAGCAATAACAAAAAACATCTTCATTCTCCTAGCCCTTCTCTGACAGACCCTATTATCTCTTGCATCTCCTTTCCACTGAGTGGGACGTTCTTTTCCAACAACTCAGTAAGTAGCTCCATTTATTGTAGGTGCTGTGCGCCTGAGGGGACCCCAGGCAAGGAGACAAAAACACACTGAATGCCTGTTAGACCAGACACTCTGCTTGCTGTATTTGCATTTAACCCCCAGATCAATCCAACCTGTCTAAAACAGAAAAAATGCATAATTGGACATGGTGGTACATGCCTGTAAGCCCAGTACTCAGGAGGATCAAGAGTTTGATGCCATGTAAGACTATACAAAAAGGTCACAATGAATCTCCCCTGTACAATTAAATGTATGCTAATAAAAATGGGGAAAAAAAAAAGAGTTTGAGGCCAGCCTGGGCTACAGAGTAAGACCCTGTCTCAAAAAACAAAAGACAAAATAGAGAAAACAGATTCTGGGTGTGCAGTTTATGTGCACAGTGACACCTTGGCATGAGAAATCAGAGGATTAGAACCTAAGCCAAGGTCTCCCTGGGTCCCCAATTCCTAGTCTTTCAACAATCCCTCTGGCTCCAGGGGACAGCTTGGGAAATGAAGTAAGTTGGGAGTTCAAATATCAAATCCTCTACTCAGAGCAGAGAAGGCCTGACTTCTGTCTTCCCAGGTGAGCACACCTGCAGGAAAAGCCCTGGTCTATGGGGTGGCTTTGCATTTCAGGACCCTTAGCTTCTCTTGCCTCAGTTCTCATGCCACCCCTGTTCCAGGGGTGACTTTTCCACTCACATCTTGGGAACAGGTCTAGAAGATTGAAAGAGTGCTGCCTGAGCCACCCAAGAGTAAGTACCTGGACAAAGTTGCTTTCAAACACCACTGAGTGAGGAAACAGGTTGAATTCTGGAGAATGAACCATCTGGCAGAGTAATCCCTCCTCTACACCTAGGCCCACTCCAGGATTCGGTTCCCCATTCACAGGCAAGAGGCCCCTGATTTCTCCCAAAGCATTCAGGGAAGTGAAGGTTGGATAAGATCTTGTGACTTTTACTGTCTTCTTCTGTTTCCACCAAGTCTTTCTGGGTGGAACTGATGTCAACATTTCTGCACATGCTGAGGGGCCTGGGATCTCTTTCTTCCCCTCTGGCTCTGGGGAGCTGGCTGAGGCCTGGGGCGGCCAATCAGCTCACAATGATGAATGGATGACATCATGAAAAACCAGGCAGGCCAGCAGGAAAGGGAAGTGCAGGGGAGCCTCCCTTTTCCTCCAGAGTGCTGTTGTGACTTATTTATGCTCTGACATTCCCCAGCCTTTTTGTGGAGCCCAGGATGGAACTCTCCCAGAGCTTGCTGAGAAAGGAAGGAGCCAGGCAGGAAGTAAGGGCTCTTAGGAACCTCTTTCTGCTGCCAAGAGGACAATTCTCTTCCGGCCTTTCAATTCTCCCTTACTGCTTTTTTTTTTTTCTTTTTCAGTGTTGAAAATTGAACGTAGGACCTTGTACTCACTATTAAAGTACTCTAACACTGAGGTACACCCCCAGCCCAACCTTCCCTTACTCTTAATGTAACCTACCCCAAACAATGTGAAGGGCTGCTGTCTGTTCAAAACCCAGCCTTTCTGAGCTTTGCATGACCTTGACATGGGCCTTCCACCCCCTGGTTTATGGGCAGCAGCCTTTTCTGCTTCTAGAAGGAATCGCAGAGCTACTGGCGCTTGCTCCCTGCTTTGCTATGGCTGGATGGTTACCCCTGCAGAATTTGTTTTCCTTAGAGGTCAAGCCGGAGAATCAGAAGAAGTAATTAGTTTCTTACCCAGAGGTTGGCTTTGGAGGGATAGCACCCCACTAGCAATGAGCAGCTTAGCTGGATTAGCAAGGCGACCCCCTCTCAGAGAGTGTGTGTCGTTATGTGTCATCTCTCTCCCACAGCTATGGAAGAAAGAGCACAAATCCTGGGACTAGATCAAGGTCAAAGAACAAAGCAAACTGATCACCATTCAAAGCCATTACAAGGAGAAATTTAATTCTAATTTGGAAAAAAATTATGGAAATTATTAAATAATGTATCACTGTTGAGGAGAAATGTGATAAATTTAGAAAAGAAGTTCTACAACCAATATATGCAAAGGACAAGCCTGAGGATTTATTTCTGTATTTCATCATAAAGTCAGGGAGAGTACTGAGGGTCATGAAACCTCCCACATCTGATTCTGCCCGCCCTCTCCCCTGGTCATCTACGTGACACTGCCCAAGCACGTGGGTTAGTGATAAATGCACACCCTTCCTTTTGTTTTGTTTGTCATGTGGGGAATTTCCCTTCAGGGTAACATGCTCTAAGGACAGTCAGAAACCATGCCATATGGCTCACATTTCCCTGGAAATGAAACACATGCTATGAAATGGTCATTAAACTGATATGAGGCTGTGCTGTTAAAGCTTCACTACAACAACTCAGCTTAGTGGCTTAGATACATGGGCTGGATAAATTTGACCATTGTGATGTCCCAAAGTCACCTGGAAAGATGATCTTTGTTCTTTTCCATACAGGTCTGCTAAGCCCATATCTGTGGTGTTCTCCATCCTTAGCGAAGGCTTGAGCACCCAGTTTAGACAGCTAATTGTGAGGAAGTGAGCTTTCAACTTTAAAACAAGAAGCTAAGTAATTGCATACATGGTGCTCTAAGACATCTACCCCTTTCTCCTAGCCCCCACTAGCCCTTCAATACTAGCACAGTGAGTCATTTTAAAAACCATATGACAAGGCTAGAAGTGTGGCTCAAGTGGTAGAGTGCCTGTCTAGCAAATGTGAAGCTCTGTGTTCAAATCCCAGTCCTACCAAAACAAAACAAAAACCCATATGACAATTGCTTGTCTATCCCAATATCCATTCTCTCCCTTTCTTTAGAATACAATAACTGACTTTCAGCTGGGCATAAGATCTTCTGGAACAGTGTACATTGCTTGGCTTCCCTTGCAGCTAGGTAAGGCCATATGACTAGTTCAAGTATTAGGGGCAATTTCTGTGAGCAATCATTGTAGAAAGAGGGCATCTTATTTTTTTAGCTCATTTTTTCCCCTCTGACTGGGATAAGACTTGTTGACTAGAACTTGAGCAGGGCATGAATAGCATGCTAAGGATGGTAGAATAGCAAGATGAAAAGACTCTGGCTTTTTGATGGTTGCAAAACTACCATACCACTGCTGAATTGGGTATTTCTAGACTTTTTGTATGAGAGAAATAAATTAGGATTTTCTGTCATATTATGTCAGACTTAAAATTGGTTGATACAAGCATATAAAATTCCTATTTATTCTTCAAGAGTAATTTTAAAGCAAATGATGGTGCTATTTACCAAAATTCTGGGCAATAAAGAAAATAGGGTTAATTTATCAAAAACTAGGACCTTAGAGCACAAACTTCTAGATTCTATATTTCAAAACATGAGAAAATATTGCTTTTGTCTTCCTTGTATATTTGCTGATATAGGTATTACCATAATCGCTATTATTATTATTATCATTATTTGTGATGGGACTGAGGTTTGAACTCATGACTTTGAGCTTACAAAGCAAGCACTCAAAAAGAAGGTACTATACTGTTTGAGCCACACCTTCAATCCATTTTGCTGTGATTATTTTGGAGATGGAATCTCAAGAACTATTTGCCCAGGCTGACTTTGAACCATGATCCTCCCAATTGCAACCTCCCAGGTAGCTAGGATCATAGACATGAACACTGGCACTTGGTGATAATCACCAGTATTTGCCCATTTGGTGATGAGAACTTGGGGGAGAATCTCCTCAACTACATTGTCTTTTGGTTTGAGGCCAAATCTACTTTGTCAGTGCAAGTTGTTTCAAAGCTTGTTCAGGAGTAAGTGGGATATCTGACTGTTGGTTGGGGCTGGATCCAGGATTTGTGGAACTTAAAACATATACAGTTTTGGAGACCCTTAAAAATAAAGACTGAGGGCTCAAGTTGTGGCTCAACTGGTAGAGTGCCTACCTAGTAAGCACAAGGCTCAGAGTTCAAATCTCAGTACCATGTACAAACAAGCAAAAAAAAAAAGTCTGGCTGGGCCTGGTGGTACACATCTGTACCATCAACATTTGAGAGATGGAGGCAGGAGATCTCAAGTTTGAGACCAGCTGGGCTACATAGTGAGACCCTGTCTCAAAACAAAATTGCTAGAGGTTTTCCAAGAGCCCTGGAAGTTTCATTTGAATAAGGGGTCCTGAAGTGTAAGCTTTATCATCTTGTGGTTGATCTGTCCATCTAAATCTATATCACTATTTAAAACACCTTTGTTGCACAAGCAGTACATATACTCTGTAGAACATAAGGAAATACAGACAAGTTTTTGTTTTAATGTGGTGCTGCCGATCAAACTCAGGGCCTTACACACGCTAGGCAAGCACTCTGTATCACTGACTAATGTCCCCAACCCTTAAAAGTTTTTTTTTTTTTAACTAAGCATATTCCTACTTTTTGGAGCACACGAAGACAACTGTATATGTGTGGGTGTGTATAAACCAAAATAAGATCATACCCTATTATTTTATAACCTTTTTATCATCTGTTTCATTTAGTCAGCATTCTATCTGTGTTTCAGTATATGTAAACGCATATTACAATTTCTCTAGTTAACTAAAATTGTTACAGCTGTCTTATCTAATTTAGTATCCAATCCAGGACTACACATCCCCACTTAGTTTATCTTTATCTCACCCATTTCCTTTCTTAGGGCTCTGTTAGGGAAAGAAATTGAGTTGTCCTATAGAATGTCTCACCTTCTAGATTTGTCTCATTGCTTCCTTGTGGTGTTTAGCTTGATTCTCTAGCCACTACCTTCCTATGAAATAGAAGTTATATCTAAAGAGCTTTTACATTCAAGGTAACTATCATTAAAAAATTAAAATAGTCACTATTTCTTGGTAAAAAAATCTACCATTAAATTTATATAAGAATTTCTCTCTCCTCCCAAAGAATTTCAGGAGGAAAAGACATACAATGACTACATATCAAAAGAGAAACAACTGGGCTCCAGTTGACTACAAGCTCACGCCTGTAATCCTAGCTACGCAGGAGGCAGAGATCAGGAGGATCACAGTTCAAAGGCAGCCCAAGCAAATAGTTCATGAGAACCTATCTGGAAAAAATCCATCACAAAAACAGGCTGGTGGAATGGCTCAAAGTGTAGGCCCTGAGTTCAAGCACCAGTACTGGGGAGAAAAAAAAAAAAGAAGAAGACAAAGAAGAGAAATGATTCCAGGAAACAGAAGGAAAAAATTGACAATAGTCTACCAAAATAAGACTGGAAGAGGGAAGGAAAGTGACGGAAGGAATGTTCCCTAAATTCTGGAAGTCACATCAGAAGCCAAAGAAGCAGAGTTGGTTACAATGTCTGATAAACTTGAGAATATCTGCAGAACACAGCAGAGAAAGGGAAAGAGACAAAGTGACTGGAGAGAAATGACAGAGAATGTACCTTTCATTTATGTTGAAATATCATATAGATAGAATCCCTGATGAAGAGGAAAATAATGGGATTGAACAAAAGAAGTCAAAAACAGGAAAAAAAAATCCATCTTTTTTGGCAGTACAGATTTACTGTATTCCAAGCAAACTGAGTAAAGACACCATTGAGATGAGAATAGTTCTTATGAAATTCCTATACATTCAGTATTAAAAAAAAAAAAGTTCTGCTACAAACATCCAGATAGAAGAAGCAGACATCTACCAAGAGGACTAAAATAAGACTGGCCACAGAATTTCTAGCAGTTTTAGGTGGCATAAGACAATGGAACAACGCAGAAAGAATGTTGAGGGAAAAAGGATGTGGCCATTCTCTAAATGGCTTAAAGTTCATTCAAGCACAAAAGTAACAAACATAATCTTAAAACATTAAGCACACTACAGGAAGTAACTGCACAAGCTGGTCCTGTGGGGAAAAACTTAGTTGAACCACTTATTAGCTCACAGTTTAGTTTTAAAAGGTGGATATAAAATTTGAAATAAAAAAACAAGTACAAATAAAGGAGTTTTCTGGGTGAAAGTAGTGGCATAAAATTATATTATTTAGGATATAGCTGAAGACCTCAATATGTAGTGGCTAAACAAAGCAGAATTTTAGTTTTTCTCTTACAAAGGTAGGCAGTTCAGAGCTGGTACAGTAGCTCT